GAGACACAGCAAGAAAACAAAGACATAGATCCTAAACCTTCTCCTGCCAATGGCTGCAGTATCCCCAGGATTCATGCTTTGCTTGCTCTTTGCCAAAGATCTCAGGCCTTTGAAGCACTTTCTAATGGGGTAACTATTAACAGGTGTTTTTCCAGAATTTTCTGGAAGTAGCAGATTATTTGAGAACAATGTGCATCTTTTGTGAAGGCACTAAGATGTCAGACTACACAGAGTGAGATCAGCTTCCCTGAATATCAGCTACCAATCTGTAAAATGGGCCCAGTATCTATATGACCTTTCTGTTACATTTAATAATTTTGACTAATAATGACCTACAATAAAAACTAAAAAAAAAATCTGTATTTCTTTTTAGGCACAAATATACTAAGTATCTAAAACTGAGAACTCTTTAGAAATCCCAAAAGGACCTGGGAGGTGGTGACGCACACCTTTAATCCCAGCACTCAGAAGGTAGAGGTAGGCAGAGCTCTGTGAGTTTGTGGCCAGCCTGCTCTTCTGAGTGAACAGCAGAACAGCCATGGATACACGGAGAAATCCTGTCTCAAAACAAACAAACATCAAAAAGATCTGAACAAAAGATGTCTGCAGACTGGGAAGTATTGAGGAGAGCATAAGCTAAATCTCTTTTCTTTACATTATGCCCTTTCAAATATGCCTAATGTTTAAAACAATAGGAAGTGTGACAATAGAGAGGATGAAGATAAATATTTTTCTTCCTGTTCATTCATTTATACTCCATGTGGTATGTACAGTATTATGTACACTATATTTAAAGCCAAACTGTCTTCAAGATGTTAATAATAGCCACCATATGTAGATGATACAACTAATATTAAGATAATAGCTATAAAAATGCCACCTGACCCCTCTGCCTGTGGTAATCATGGCCAAAGGTTAAAACAAAGGGAATAAGTATGAGGATGGAGTGTGTTTTCAAGAGTGACACTCTGCTGAATGCACGAAGACCGTAAAATGGCGAAAGCCACTATTCAGTTACCACTTTGTTGATTTATTTTTAATCAAATAAGTGTGTATGTTACATACCATAGAGAAATGCAATTCTGTTAGCCCTTGTGGGTTTTGTTACGGTGGTGCTACTGTCCTTAGGACTTGGTGTGCCACCTAAGAGAACACAATGAACCAAGAGGGGATGCACAGCTCATGGCTTATCAGAGTATCTTTATCTAGTTTTGCAGATTTGAAGATTTTATGCCGTGTGTGTGTGCATGCATGCATTGTGCATGTGTGTGTCTGTGTGTGTTTTCTTTTTCTTCAAACCAAGAGTTCTAATAGAAGCCTCACCTGTCAACAGGCAGCTGCACATCTCAGCACATGCAAATTCTAGAGACCAATGTTGCTAAGCCTAATCATCGTAAGAAAATGCAGGTTAGATTCTGCTGATAGAAACAAGGACTAAAGGAACAGAAGTGTGCCACAGAGCACACTTGTAGAGCTTGTAAAGCGCACACAGAGCTTCTAGGTTTAGAGTCTAGTTTAATAAATGATTGTTCCAAAAGAACATGCAGATGCATCATCGCTAACACCAGGCATGGTAATGAAGCTGAATATATTAACCCCTATTTTATAGAGAGAATTTAAAAGCTTCATGAAATAAAGAAAATATTATGTTATACGTTAACTTTATTGCTCAAGGGCATTTTAGTTTATAGCAATGCCTTAAATTTTCTCCATAGATGAACCATAGCTTTAAAAGCAGCCCTTGTTACTGTCGTTAAATTTTCTTATTGCTGAATGCTAGGCACAGCCCATGGAATTGTAAAGGTGGCTGGATACTTGGCCACAGCCATTTGGTATTTAATAAAATTGCTTGACTGTTAAGGGTGCCATAAAACTAACTGTAGTTCTAATCTTTTATAATGACTTAAATTTGGGGGTGGTACACTTGAATCTGAGGCAGTGTTACTAAATTTTAGAGCTAAACAGATATTACTAGCCAAGCCTTTTGACACCAGCCCAACAAAGCCCAGCTAATCAGTGGCCTGCCTATGACTTCATCTAATTTCCAGAGCGACGACCTGAACCTTGCCTTTTCTCCTTCTCAATGGAAAATATGTTCTTCTTTACATTCCTTAAAATCATTCCCAAGCTACATAAACAAAAAATTCCATATCCTGTTTAAAAGTAAAAACATAAAGTTAGCATAAATCTGATTGAAAACAAATATAGCAAAAATGAAGGTGCTGTAAGTATTAGTAATATTTGTTCATTCACTTTTATATCCCTAAGAGAAATCTCTATGACTGACTCTGATGGCTCAAGTCACTTTTCTTGTAAGTTATGAAGAAGATCTGAGCTGATTTTCACTCATGGGGACTAACATAAGCTAGGTGTGCATGGTGGCACAGACCTTTGGTCCAGGCACTCCAGAGGCAGAGGCAGGCAGACTTCTGTGCATTAGAAGCTAGGGAGTGACTGGGAAATTAATGAAAACTGCAGAGTCTGGCAAAGGCTGTAGCTCGGCTGTAGAGCTTTTGCCCAGTTCTGCAAAACTTTCGATCTTTGCTCCCCCTTCACTTAGCCCTGGTGAATCACCTGAGCATGGGTCATTCCTGTGCATGCTGAGGCTCTATCTAATGCACCTATTTAGAGTTAGGAATGTCGAAACCTCGTCCTTTTGTTTGGGTGGCTTTTTCCTCCTCACTCTTTGCTTCTCCTTACCCTGGAGGAAAAATAAATAAATAAATAAAACAAAACAAAACAAAGGAACACAAAAATACCAGTCTGGAGTTGGCACCGTAGCTCTGGAGTTGGCACCGTAGCTCAGTGGAAGGGAACCACCTAGCATGTGGCAGGCCATTTGTTTATCCCTGGCAGAACAAAGCAAACAAGCAAATGCATCTTCTTTAAGAGGTGACAAGAACAACACAAAGAACCAAGGAGAGAAGAGAGGAGAGAAAATACATCTCCTTCGGGAGCCAGCGGCCAGACTGGCTGGTGGCTGCCTTTGGAAGGCTCTTTAGCATTTAGCACATCTGACTCTGACTCTGCTTTTCTAGGTCTTCCCTAGTCATTATTTAGTCCATTCTGGCTCCCCAAACAGAGATTGTGTAACTGTATTGAGGAGCATAGGAGTTAATTATACAGTGTTGGATTTATGGAGAGCTAGCCACAAAACATCCCTAGGGAAACTGCCTATTCCAGTTCAGGACAGATACAGCAACAGTTTCTTGTTGACCGTGGAACCTGGGAACCACTGTGACTAACAGGCATTGTGGCCAAAAGGCAAAGTCAAATGGTAAGCCTTCTCCTCTACGTGCAAACATTCCCCAGTGTATGTGGTAATGAGCTCAGGTTCAGAGCGGAAATCTTCCGAGCTCCGTGCTCATCTGCATCTGTCCTCCAGAGCAGCTGCTAGGCTCTAACCTCTTCACTGAAGATAGAACGACAACACATGCCTCTAAAGTCCACTCTAAGCTAAGTGCGAGAAATTCAGGCAAAAGCACCTAGAACAGTATCTGATAACTGTAAGAGTTCAGGACTTTTACCCGTGTATACGTGTATTTCTTTATTTATTCTTCTTTTGCTCAGTAAAATGGTTTTAGGACTTTCCTATCTTTGGGCATAAGTTATAACTGCATCTCAACTGTTGAAAATGGCCTGGGACGGATATATGATTATTCACGCCTAGGATAAGTATTTCCACACGTAGCGTGGTGGTGGTGGTGGTGGTTTTGGTGGTGGCGGTGGTAGTAGGTGGTAGTGGGGGGGGTAGTGGGGGGGGTGGTAGTGATGGAGTGGGGGGGTAGTAGTGGTGGGGTAGTAGTAGTGGGGTGGCAGGGGTGGTAGTGGTGGGGGGTGGTAGTGGTGGAGGGGGGGGTAGTAGTGGTGGGGTAGAAGTAGTGGGGTGGCAGGGGTGGTAGCGGTGGAGTGGAAGTGCTGGTGCTGGTAATGGTGGTTGTGATGGTGGTGGAGGCAGTGGTGGTGGTGAGGTGCCTCCAAGTGGCAGGTCCCAACATGAAGGCTCTGCAATGTATTATTACACAGGAGCAGAACCTAGGTGATTCTGAAGCAATACATGAATTGTGGAAGTGACCCCCAGATGAATTAGCATATGACCCCAGATGAATTAGCATATGACCCTAGATGAATTAGCATTTACGGTGGTTGAACTGCAGCCACCGGTAGTGATCGCTGCTCACTTTCATCTTCTTCCTGTGTATTCTGCAAGGTAGGAAGAGAAAGGGAGAGGCCACTTTATCAAAACTGGTTTGGTAGACTTAACAATCTACTCAATGTTTGACTTCCTTTTGGGGCATAGAAATTTGAATCTTGACCAAGCGTAGGGTTGGGGTGGAGGGCTGGGAGAAATATGACAGACACATCAGATAGTCGAAACTAGACCCTCCTCTGGCTTGGTGAACATGGAGCTCCCCCAGCAGGAGGGGCTCTGATAGGTGATGTGGAATAGTTGCTTTAATTATTCCAAAGGAACCAGGCTTTTCAGAAAATAGAAGAAGTTTATAAAAGTTCAGCTAAATATGCTAGATCGTTTGTTACAGTGTGCTCTCACAGAACTTGACAGTCTCCATCTTGAGGAGTACAGGGAGGAACATGCACCTGTGGAAAAGACAATGCCAGTTCCTTGTTCTCTGTCCCCTCTGGACCCTGCTGACCCCCGTGAATTCTGAGCAGTTTTAGAAACACGCCTATGTTTGCAGGCCTGTGACGGGTGATAGGCAGCCATCAGCAATCACCCTGCACCATGAAGGAGAAGGCCACAAGGCCCAAATGCAGCATCAGGCTTAGAGCTATGAGGTGGTTTCTAGGGTCCGTGTTGGAAGAAGCCAACAAGCTGCCTCTGCGTGTGACACAGGGGAAGGAGCTCTTACCCTGGCTGGTGATATTCAAGGATTCTGTGGGATCTAACTGGCTCTGCCATCCCAGCATCCCTTCAGATGTTGTTCGTTATCTCTGATCCCAGCCAAACTGATTTTCTTTCTCTCTGCTTCTTTTCACAGTGCTCATGTATCTCAAGTCAGCAATGTTTCAACAACTGGAGAGTAAGTTATTTGTTTTCATGTTTTGAAGCTCTTTATGCCTTTTCTCATTTATTAATGAAGAAAAACAGCAATTTTAATGTTGTGTAGAATTGGAAGATTGGAGCATGTCTCGGCCAATAGCTTAGGCTTATTTCTAACTAGCTCTTACAACTTAAATTAACCCATATCTTCTACTCTTCATTCTTTTATGTGGCTCAGTTACTTTCACCCTGCACTGCCCATGCTGCTTTCTCTGCATCTCCTCTTGTCTCCCCTTTCTCCTTCCCAGCATCCTCTGTGCCTGGAAATCCTGCCTATCAATTGGCTGTTCAGCTTTTTATTTAACCAATCAGAGTGACACACCTTCACAGTGTAGAAAAAGATTCCACAGCAAGAAGATCAAGATAGGAAACAAGCAGTAGATTTTAAGCCGTTCATCTCCAGAAAGTAGCTCTGTATGTAACTACACACAATCCCCCTACCCCATGTGAAACTACCAACTAGGTTCTTTCTTATCTTCACTAGGTATGCTAGGTGAGCCTTCAGTTTACTATATAGGCCAGGCTGGCCCTTGACTCACAATCCTGCCTGTCGCCCAGTGCTAGGATTGTAGATGAGTGGGTCACTATGCCTGGCACTATTAGCTCTTGGTTTATTTCAGTAGAAATAATGTCAGGTTCAGTTAATGTTTACAAAGCCATCTCTGGTCCCTGGAGGCAGCTTGTGGAGAACGGAAGTAAAGCTCAAGCATTAGCCATGACTTTTCTCCCCCACTTCATTCGTTTTACTGAGGTGACATTCATTGAGTGCCTGCAATGTGCCATCCCCAGGGTTATTGTGGGATAGAGTAAGCCTTGGCCCTGCCTTTGGGGATTTTTGCAGTCCTTTTATTTGTGTTGTTATTGGGATGCAGGAAGGAAAGCAAAGTCGTGGTGGCACCACGTCCTTTCTCTGCACAGCAGTGGCAATGCTGGGGTAATTATGCCTGGCACAGGTTTTCCCTCAGAGGCTAGGGGCATGTAAGCTAAGGATGTCTCTTCTTTTTGCACTGCCCCTGGCTGGGCTATCTGCACTTGCTTGCCTCTCTGACCTCATTGCACATGGTTCCTTGGTCACTTGACTTTCTATTGCTGAGACAGACTGATTTGATTTCTGTGACAGACATTCATCTTGGCTGTGCACTGCCCAGCCAGAACTTTCATGTTTTGATTCATCCATTCCAGGAATCTCTTCCTGACCCACTAACAGATGGCACACTGCCACACTGTTCCCTCTGTCCTGCCCTGGAGAAGTGCAAGCTGTATTAACACAGGATCTTTTCTGCCATGTTCATGCTCATCCCCCTATTGCTCTGCCCTAAGGGCTTCCCTGGGAGAGGGGATGAGAAGGCATGGCGTCAACAACATAGATGCTGGGAGTTGAGTGAAAGGGAAGCCGCAGACTTGTTTATTTAGCAACTGGGAGAACTTTATATACCCTCCCAGCACCCAGGCGTTCCAATCTGTGGATATGTGTGGTCGCCCCGCACTGGCCAAGCACAATCAGGACCTCTGACAGCACCTGTTGCTAGTCTCTAGGGCAGCATCACATAGTAGTCGCCCCTCTTTGACTAGGCACAATCAGAACCTCTGGTACAGTGCCAGGCAGACTCCAGGTTGGCATCCCTCAGCCTGGTAGACGTTAACTTCCTACACTCCCCAATGCCAAGAGACATGTTAGGAATGTTAATACACTACCTAGATAGTCTCCACTTCACTACATAAATAGTCTGTGGGCCAAAGGCCTTTTGGTCACCCCTACCTCTTCGTTTTGTTTTGTTTTTCTGGGACACATGAAACCTACTCATAACATCTTCCTCAGGTAATAATCTAGTGTTAAATGTGGAGAAGGTGGGATATAAAGGAAAGAAAGAAAAAGGAAGAAGCACTGACTGGAGAGAATTGGAATCTCAAATGATTTTCCCCATTATTTCAGGAAGCAAACAAGGGCAGAACTAACTTTCTTTGGCTCTGTAAACCTTTAAGATTCCAGAACTGAACCAAGATGGACACATTCTTGCCCATCTTGTGCCTGATACTTTCTCCTCATGCAGTTGGTGCCACTGTGAGGTACTCTCTATGCGATGCTAATTTATTTACGTTCCCTACACGGGTGAGTCCCTTTGGGCACTGAATACAAAGAGCTGCAGTGACTACCACTGTTAGGCTTTATGTGCCCCTTGTCTTAAAGTAATTTTAATAAAAAAATTAATTAAGAATTAATAAAACTGTCTATGTGGCAAAATTTAAATTGAAGTTCTTAAAGACCATTTGATAAAATTGGGCTAGTGGTTTCAAAAGATTGCGAGTTTAAGACTTGCTTGGTCTATGTAGCAAGACCCTGTCTCAAAACAAAGCAAGCAAAAACCATTTTATTTAAAGAAAGGTACCCTTCAGTCTAGCTATTAAAAAACAAATAAACAAAAAAACTGTGAATATTTTAGGTAGTAAAATAGCAATCATTGAGGAGTGTAGTGTAAATTAAGAATTTCCATACCAACTTATTCAGAATTAAACTAAATGGTGAGTGATTGCTTCGGTACACTGAATGATTCTGCCACAGTAAAACTGCCACAGTTTTTGTGAGAGTAGGCAGAGCAGTGACAATGGGCAAAACTATCCTCTTTGTATCTCATGGTGCACTGTTTTGGCCTTTTGTGCGTAACCTTTTTTTCCTTAGGTTTAATAAAGTAAATCTATCCTTCCTATTTGAATAGCATATTTTGGGATGTGTTCGTGTGAACTCAGTTTTAATTTTGTCAATCACCATTTGATTATAAATGTAAAGCAATTTGCCGTGCCTTTGAGTTGTAATTGTTCTGGTGAGATTCTAAATATATACTAGGTATATATATATTTACTTTGTAAATCAAACCGACACCTTCTGCAGAACTGGTATGGCATCGGGAGGAACCGTGCTTTGTAAAGATATTCAACTGTTGCTCTATAGTGAAAATTTTCTACTTCTACCTTTCCTTAAGTGGCTCTTATTTCCTGACATCCTCCCAATCGTTGCTACATCTACTTTGAGCATTTCAGTCACTACAGACTCACAAAATGAGACAAACTACCTGGTGTGATTTAACTCAATATGATTTAACTTAATGCAATAAGCAATTGTTTTACATGAACATACTGTTCTGTCTTTGCTCATGAAGTACTAAATGCCTTCAGTGGGAAAAAGAGATACTTCTAAACTATGGGCCTATTTTAAAGGAACTCATTGGTAACCTTGATTGCTTCATTAACTTGGTGGTTTGTTTTTAACTAGACTCTTAGAAAGAACCATCAGGTCAGCAGTAGAAGAACATCTTTTCGATGTCAACAGCTCTGGAGATCAAAGTTCAGAAGACTCAGAGTCTGGACCACCATCACCATCTTCCACACCCACCAGGCATCAAGGGCATCAATTTAAGAAGCAGGATGATGTTTGGCATGGCCGAGACAAGTAAGCTGCCATCAGCCCTCACTTCTTGAGTTTTCTCTTTCTGTTTTTAAGTCAGTCACTATGTCACAGGCCACCTGCTCCTCTCATTTTAGTACCCAGGTTAAAATTGTACAAGTTTTCGCTATGGCCATTCTCAATTTAGCCAGCATTTCTATGTGACTTAGTATCTTAGTCTCATCTAGATAGCTATCTTAATTTATAACATCCTGTTGAATAACTTGTTTAGAAAAATTCTGTCCAGAGGTTCTTTCTTCCGTATAAGTCAACATGAAGTGGATTTATTAAGTAAACATGAAGTTAGCTATTAGTCAACAGAGTTCCCCTTGTTAAATACTGGATCACCCCTGTAATAATTCTAACACGTGGTTATGTGTAGTAAGTGGCCACTTGTGCATTCTCGGCTACCCTGACCACAATATAACCACACAGAAACTATATTAATTAAATTACTGCTCGGCCTATTAGCTCTAGCTTCTTATTGGCTAGCTCTTACATCCTAAATTAACCCATCTCCATTAATCTGTGCATCAGCACAAGGTCATGGCCTACCAGCAAAGTTTTGGCAGGCTACAACAGAGGCGTCTGTCTCTGGAAGCAGCTACACGGTCTCTCCTTGATTCCTCCTATTCTCTATCATTTCCAGCCTGGCTATATTCTGTTATGCCATTGTCCAAAAGCAGCTTCTTTATTCATAACCCAATAAAAGCAACATATTTACAAAAGGACTTCCCACACCATTTCCCCTTTTCTGTTTAAACAAAAGGAAGATTTTAACTTTAACATAGCATGATTACATATAACAAAACAGTTACCAAGCAAGAATTATAGTTACAATATTTATATCTACTTTATCTTTTATCATACCTAAGGAAAACTATAACTATCTATTCTTCAATTCCATCAAAGACTCCAGAAGGATATAATACTACCTAAGGAAATGCTTTGTAAGCAACTTCTAAAACTCTAGAATTGACAGAGACATCTCGCTGCCCGGACAGTCACCCAAAGTTCTTCTGTATCATTGGGTTATCCATCTTCAACCTACAGGCCCATAGAATTCAGCAGACTTTTCCGTGAAACAGGAAATTTCAAAGACTGTTCTGCCTATATTGGCAGTTTGTCAATCACTTTCTTCTGTGTCCTGAAGAATGTCTGACAGGCTCTTTCCTGAAGCAGGAACTCCAAAGGACTGTCTCACCTTCTGTAGACAACTTCAGCAATCATTTTCATGTGGATCCTACATGTCCACTTCATACAGCATAACATTAAGCAGTCCAGACAAGAACAGTTTCTTGCCCAAATGGCTAACCAACTCCATAAGGAGCCTCTTCAATCATCCTCTTGAAGTTTTAGTACTTTTTTAAAACCTGAACATTTTAATCAATAGAAGAAAAGCTTAATTTCTATGTTATAATATTACTTAACTTTAAAACTTCAAAATTTGCAGCATGAATTTTAAGGACGGTGTTACAAAGAGTTTATTCCCCATTAGTGGCTTTAGTAAAGTAAGAATGCAAATCACCATTCATAGTAATAGCCGTAAGGCAGGTTCCCAAGGAAAATTATTATGTATCATTAACTGATTATATTCATGTTTTTCTGGAATGTTCCAAGTTTGTTTCCATTTACTATGTGGTTAATATTTTTACTTAATTACTAAACATTGAAGACTGAAGTTAACCCTAGTTTCACATATTCCCCTCCACTACCACCCCCTGAATTCATAAACTATAGCAAAATCTTTATCAATCAACTCTATTTTTGTTGAAAGAAAAGTCATTGAAGATAAACCATGTAAGTAAATTCTCTGCTATATAATATTTCAGTGTTCAACAGCTATGTTAACAAATAAATTCATGCAAACAGCAGAATCAATCATCTAACCCACTGATTTTACAAAGAAAAAAGTTTATTAGTTTAAGAATTGTGTTAAAATTTCAGCCCAAATTAGATTTGTAACTATGAGATCTCAGAATTTGAATTGTTGGATAAGGAGTTTTAGTTCTGAGATTATTTGAAGGATTATTAAGTATAGATTTAATCAATATCCTCATGCACTAATTTTGTGTTAAAAAGCTATGCATCCATAGCAAATTTAATATTTAAAACAAACTTTATTTTAAAACAGTTTTAACTGAGAAATGGCGGTGCACACCTTTAACCCAAGCACTTAGGAAGTAGAGACTGGAGAATCAGAATCAGGAATTTTCAAAACCAGTCTTGGCTACAAAGAGATTTCTTAAGGCTAGTGTGGACTGCATGGAAACCCTATCTCAAAATAACTAAATAATAAAACAGTATTTTCTAAATATTTTTGTTAGAACTGGTAGAAAAAAGTATTTATGATATTTCCTTAGAAAAAAAGAAAAACTGCAGTACCCAGAAATGTTCACGTTTGAAATCAGTCCCTGACATATTTATAGAAAACATTTAGCAGCATAATTCATTTGCATTCTGTCTCATTATGTTACAAATATAATTTATTCATTAACATAACTATTATATTCTACTTTAGCATTTTTAAAGTTATTTTCAAAGTGTCATGACAGCCTGTTTTCCACCCTCTCTTTGGACAGCAGATGCATTTGTGGGGTGGGAAGTGTTAGCATAGCAAGAAGATATTAGTGGTAGCAGAGGTGGCCGTGGGGAGCAGGCAGAGGTGGTACGGTCAACAATGAGTAGGCGCCAAGTAAGGTGAGCCACAAGCTAGCCCCTCCCTCTGAGAGAGCTTGGAGAGCTGGGCTTCCCAAGGCTGTGGATGCTTCTTACATGTGTTATCTTAATTTTATTCAGTTAGCAACATCTGGAGAAGCAGGAGAAATGGGGAATGGAGGAGTCTGGTCTGTTGCAGTCTACCCATGAAACTCTAACCTTAATCTTTCATCTCTGTCCTCCCCGTCACTGCTCAGTCTAGTCCCTATCTTGACCTTGTTGCAGCTGTATAAAGAGTCTTGGGAGGTAAATATTTATGTTCTCCTAGGGTACTGTGTATGGTGACCACACAGAAGTTACCACGATACTCTTTCCTGGGCACCTGGTCCCGTCCTTTTGCTCCTTGCTTGCATTGTCCATCTTGTTGAGAGATATCTGCCTATCTCTCCTGACATGCTGGGCCACAGACTGCATGGACAGAACTTCCCCAACTTCCAGCACACACTGTACAGCTTCTTTGGTTTTGTGAGGTCATTTAGCTCTCACAGTCCCAGAGCCATGATTTTTACCTGGCTGTAATTTTACCACAGTCTGAAGTCTGCGATGGCCACCCTTTATTCCCTGATGGGCTCTCCTGATGCCTTTGCTCACCTGTGCTATCCCTTCGAGCTCTGTTGGTTTCCCATCTCTCACCCTTTTGCTTTGCATACTTTCTGGCTGCTGATTTTTCTAACAATTCTATTCCAGTCTCAGAACTTTCTTTTGCCTTCCTTCTTCTTGTAATATGTAAATGGAGACTGTACTTTCATTTCCCAGTCACCCAGACCCAATAATAACACAAAAAACTGTATTAATTACAACACTGTTTGGCCAACGGCTCAGGCATATTTCTAGCTAGCTCTTACATCTTAAATTTACCCATTTCTATTAATCTGTATATTGCCACAAGGCTGTAGCTCCTGGTAAGGTTCTGTCATCTTTCTCCTTCAGCAGCTACATGATGGAGTCTGTCTGACTCCACCTCCTTTCTCCCTCTATCTCTGTTTAGATTTCCCACCTAACTATATTCTGTCCTGCCATAGGTCAAAGCAGTTTATTTATTAACCAATGGTAATAAAACATATTCACAGCATACCACATCAGTAATGACTTCAGAATGTTTGGTCCTCTCTGATAACCCCAGTAGAGACATTAGTATTTTATAAATTGTGAAAACATCAAGGCCAGTTGTTATAGCATGTAGGGAATTTCTTATTGCTAGGGTTTAATTATAACTGTTTAAATCAATTTAGCTAAGATTTTTATCAGGTTTACTTTCTTATAAAAGCACAATTAATCTAGACTTTATAATATTTTACCCAAAACTGTGAGCCTCCTGGAATAGTTGCAGCATGTTTTAAGGAAATCTGTTTGTTTTGTTAGGTTACTTTGCATCTCACTACTTATAGCCGTGACAGTTAAACACTGTCCCCAGTCAGTGATGGTCTGGTTGTAGGTGAAGTCTTACTGAGGCCATTTGTAACTTTTTAGATAAGTATTACTAAAAGGAGACAGAGACTATGAATCATTCTCTTTTGTTCAAATGATTTGTTATCAAATTTACAAGAAAAAAAAACAATCAAACTCAAATAATTGGTTACTAAAATAAAAGCATAAATGTTTGAAAAATATATCTAGTATATAAAAGTTCCCATCTAACTTGCTTGCTTAAAGAATCTGCTTGTTACCAGGAATATGCATGTTTGTCTCTATTTTATTATTGTTTAAAAGCAAGACATCATCTTTAAATGAGAGTAGTTTAAATCTTCCAAAATATAATGACCTGAAAGCTTAATGCCTGAATTTGTTATAAAAAATATTATATTAAAATCCTGTTGTAAAGCAAAAAGGAAATCATGCTCAATTGCAGGAATGATGAATGTCGTTATTATTATATATAAATAATATTATTAAGAAATTAAGTATGCAATAAAAGAGGAAAAGAGAAATCCAGGAAAAATGGAACCCTGGGCAAGGATCCAGTAATTAAAAGGAAAGGTCCAGAATTCTATGTCCAGGTAAAATTTGACTCATATCAAATATGACAGCAATATGATGTGTGTTTGGGAAATGAGTGGGATCCTGGGCTCCAAATCCTCACTAGCCTGAGACTGAGACACACGGGTGTTGATGTGAGCACACATCTCCTGCCACCTTGCTGCATGTCAATTTCAGCACCTTTTTCTGCTTATTGGTTCATTGTACTAAATGACTATAACATCAGCTCTTTATTAGCGTGCCTGGCTGCTATAACAAATACACCAACTGATTGTCCTAAGCAACAGTACTTATTTGTTCACAGACCTAGGGACCAGCAGGTCCATGATCAAGGGATAGACAGGACTGTCTTTGCACTGTCCTCATGTGACCTTCCTTCCACACATGCTTTCCTGATGTCTCTTGTATGGACAGTACTCACACTGGATGTCCTGACGTAATGACCACTAGACTGAATGACTTAAGAGAGGCCTTTCCTTCACCACGGTTTTATTAGGCATCAAAACATTGGCACAGGAATTGTGAGGGGATACAGATGAGTCTGTATCAAGCATGATAGAATCTCCACTAAAAATTATAATGTACACATAGTAGTTTTGGGAAATATACGGGGTGATAAGAAGACAGAATTTCAGGGATGAGACATATTTTGGATTTGCAATCATACTTCTGCAGCCATCTGCAGAAGATATTATGCATGAGTGTGATGCCCGCATGCTAGACGCTGTCAACTTTATATCCTCTCTTCAATTCGCTTGTCTGTAGATGAACTTTCTCGTCAAGAACAAAAGCTCACAAATAATGACGCAGAGACTTATTGTTAATTATGAAACCTCAATCTATAGCATGGGGTTGTCCCACTAGCTCTTATAACTTAAACTAGCCCAATTTTAAATCTACATTCTTTTCTGTGGCTCAGTCACCTTTATTCTGTACTGCCCATCCTGCTTCCTCTCCATATGGCTGGCGACCTGCCTTTCTTCTTCCCAGAGTTCGTTTTCTCTTTCTGGGAGTCCCACCTATACATTTGGTCTAGCTATTGGTCATTTAGCTTTTTACCAAAGCAATTACAGTGACACATCTTTGCACAGTGTAAAGGAATATTCCACAACAGTTTGTCCTTTAGGTATTTCTGATAACTGTATATGAATTCTCACACAATTTTAACACACACACACACGTGTGCACACACACACACACATATATATTCTACATTCTAAAATGACCAAATTAGACAGCACAAAATGTCTCTATAGATGATAAAACTTTGAAAATATTATAGTAGCTTTTAATTCATAATTTTCTTTCTATTTTAGTCTAATGGTATGAATTTTATTACAGAATAAGTATTTAATGCTCTCTTTCACTGGGGGATATGGAGAGCTGACAGTAAAATATGGTGTCTATTCTTGGCTGCCAAATTAATTTATTTCCAGATGCAGGTTTGGAGTGAGGGAATTACACTAACTCAGCCATGCTGTGAGACTCTCAATCATTTCTGTCTTACTAAACTATAGTGTCGTATTGGTAGTTTAATTTGATCTATGGTATAGATTAAAATAAAACTTTTCTAAGTCATTTATTTTGTGAAAACTTCTTACAGGAGTGTTTACAATACTAATGTTTCAAAAGAACAAATGAGTCAAAGCCCATGATTATGATATTCCTGTGTGACGTGATACGGTGACTACGATATTCCTATGTGATACGGTGACTATGATATTCCTGTGTGATATGGTGACTATGATATTCTTATGTAGTGTGATAGGTAACTGTATTATGAAGTGTCCCCTTCACATTTTAAAATACGATTAAACTTTTTTTTTCCATTCAGGGAACTTATCAACAAAGAGAATATCCCCTATGGCTTCCACAGCTATGATGAGTGTGTTGTGAACAGCCAGGAAGCAGAAAGACTCCCGGAGGACACCTGTGACTGTGTCGGGGAAAGAAGTAAACCCAAGCGTCAGAAATCCAGTTCCAGGCTCACGGAGCTCAGTGAAAATCATGAGGGGCTCCTGGTAAGTAGGTATTTTAATAACTTCTTTACTTGAGACTCTAAAGAAAGTCAAACGATCACAGAGTGGAAGGCCATGGGGATGGGAGAGCAGATTAACTGGGTTTTCAAGCATCATTAGGAGGAGTGACTTCACTATGGGTAAGAAGCCAGTCACGCGTTCTTTGATCAGGGATGTAGATTACTTAAATTTGGTGTTATTGCTAAACTGAAGATGGACACACGTGATCAAGGGTAGAAGCTGGGACAGTAGTGAGATGCTCTGACCATAATCCTGGTCTGTGATAACAGTTTGAACTAAAATTATACCAGAGGCAGCACCCCAGCCCTGCAGGAGCTTGGTGCTGCCAATTTATGAGGCGAAGACAGAGTATAGGGAATGATACCCTAGGTTCCCTTCAGGGCATGTTAAGATGGAGTGCCCTGTTAGACATGGAAGAGGAACTATCTTTGAGGCAATTGGATTTCTGGGCCTAGAGCTCAGGCAAAGTGTCTGGGAAGGAGGCAGGTGTGATGGACATCAGAATTAGAGATATTAAAGACAGTACACGGGAGGAGATAACTAGGGAGGGAACGTGGGTGGAAAAGTGGCCCAAATAAAGATAAAAAACACTGAGCACAGAAACACTTAGAGAATGGGAAAATAAGCGTATGAAAGAGATTTACTAACAAGCAGCCAGAAAATAGAGGGGAAATGAGACCAGTTTGGAGTCTTAGAAACCAGTTAACTGAGTTTCTTAAGAAGAAGGGGTCAGAGATGAGGCCAAGTCTGACCATTTGAATTCACAAAGTGAAGCTCACTGTTGACTTTAAGAAGAGAAATCCTGGTATAGATTCAAGGGAAATGGGAGGAGAGTAACTGCAGGGGACAAGCACTATAGAGGCCTAACTGACCCAGGCCAGCCAAGGAGGAGAACCGTGTACAGAACTCACCAGCCCTCACTGGCTTGGTGTCCGGGTCTTTTTCTTTGGTTTCTCTGGGATGTGGTGACACTGAGATCATTGGGGTCTAGGAAATAGGTCACTCAGAGCTAGAAAGCAGAGACAGTGAGCTCTCAGTCAGCGTTAGTTTGCTCTGTTTCGGCTCCATGCCATCTCTAGTGACAGAACTGAGATAGTGGGCTGTGTTTTAACTATTTCCCTTACTTTAATCTAAAAGAATCCTAAGTCTTTGGCCATTTTCTTTTCTTTTTAACCTGACTCAATTACATGATTTTGTTTGTTTGTTTGTTTGTATTCTACTTCTAAGGCTAGCCTTAAGGCCAAAAAAAAAAAAAGGCAACAACAACAAAAAAACTCCTTTAAATATCAGTTTTCTAAACACCCTCCCCACCTTGCACACGCATACTCACACACAATCTCTTACACACATGGTTTTCATAAACTCATCTCTATAGGCCTATATCTCTTTATCCCCCAAACGCTCTCTCTAGAACAGTCTAACGGTGTCACTAGAGAGCCACCAGTGACGCATGCATCTTCCTTCTAAACACCAGAGAAAAACTTGTACATTAATTCTCTCATCATTAATCTATCCATAATCATGGAAAATTAGGAGCAACTTTATTGTTTTAGCTATAAGATAAATAAATTAGTAATCTCTGGACACTGGTTTGGTAAGATACAATCTAAGTATTAGAAATTATGGTTAAGAACACTAATAAAATAGAAAGTGTTGACAGTTGTATTTGAAGTGCTTTTTAATTTCAATCTTTCCAATAGATAGGAGAGTATTGTTAGCTGTCTTCATTCCAAACACGAAGGCATGAAATATAGATGACTGAATACTTAGATCATAAGTAAGGGAACAGCAATTTCAGTATGGGGTCCCTCGTTTAAAGTAAGCTGTGGAGTAGCATGTGTGTGTGTCTGTGTATGTGTGTGCATGCATGTGTCTGTGTGCATGTCTGTGTGTGTGTGTGTGTGTGTGTGTGTGTGAGAGAGAGAGAGAGAGAGAGAGAGAGAGAGAGAGAAGAGAAAACAACTCATTCCCAGGAACAAAACTGAGAGAAAATGTTTACCTGAACGTGGTTGCATAATATTATGGTATTGCTAGAAATAATAATCACTCTTTTCTTTATTTCTCAACACATCCTACTAGACTATATAATCCTATAGCAAGCACTATACTGAAAGTATTCAAAGCAGACTTCAGTAGGTCTCATCTCATCTTCAGTAGATCCCAGCTGCCACCCACTATCTGAAATCTCAGAGGAGACTCACAAGAGGAGAATGGGTCTTGCTGGTGGCTATATCTTAATTTCAGTTTTAGCTTTATCACTCTACTACTAGGCAAATGAGAAGAATAGTACAGCTCAGGGCTCAAGCACTTGACTGTCACGTGTAAGACTGAGGATTAAGTCCCCAGCACTGCTAAAACAAATTGCCCCAAGTAGGTAGGTATGCTATGAAACTTTAGTTGCTATTTATGTAAAATAATATCATTATCTCTTTTGGTTTTTTGTGAAATAAATGCAACTAAAATGCTAGACTGTAGGTAAAGGGGGACACAGTGAAGGTTTCTCTTCAGATTGTCCCTGTACTCCGGGGCCCAGTCCCTCACTACTTCAACCGTCTGTCTGCATTTTTTGCTGTAGTCCTTTACCTACCCAGCCCTGTAGTCAAATTTAACACTTTCCTGCAGGCACCAAGTTTTCTAGGTTATGAATTAGCCCTTTAAGACCCTTCTGCAGTGGCCTGTTGTGGCCTGTGTGTGTCCCTTTGTCTCTTGGCCTTTCTGCAACACTGATCTCTCTTTGCCCCTTCTCAGAGTGACTGTTGACTCCTCTGCTGGGGCCTCACTGGCTCCCCTTCCTGAGTTCTGTTTGGATGTGATTGTTACCCAAACCTTGACACCTCCATGTCAGGGCCTTGCTTCTGACCTTCTCCCATTCTGAGCTTTCCGCGATCTCTACAGATGTGCTCCAGATCAGGTTTGCCTCGCTAACACCTAACATCAACGTGTTCAAACCAGCTTTCCTTTTGCTCTGTGGTCTTTTGACCTTGTTTTTACGCAGCCTCAATATGACCTCCTTAGTTGTTCCAAGCCCTTTCCTTTCCCTTGTCTTCAGCCCTGCCTCCCACGTTCTCGTTTTCAAATGTAGGTGATTATATTGAAAGTATCTTGATTCCTGGACCAGTAATGTGGCTTTGAGGCAAAAGTGCTTGCTGCCAAGCCTGATTATCTTAGTTCAATTCCAGGGACCTACATAATGGAAGTAAAGAACTGACTCTGGCAAGTTGCTCTTTGACCTCCATATATACTTCTTGGCAAGCTTAGGCCTCACCCCATACACACTCACGCACATTAAAAATTAAAGGTCATTTGAAAATAAACTATTTTTGGTCCTTTCCCCATTGTCTTTCCATTGCATGGCTGATACCCTTTTCTAATTAGTCTGGAGTCCAAACAGTCAACTAGCATGTCTGCACACCTCCACTCTGCCCCCATTGGACCATTCCATCCGCTGCTGCAAAACAAATCACCCACGTAATACAGACAGTGCTTTTAAACTCGATCTTCAGTGCAGCGCAATACAGCAAGAGATCCTGTCCAAACTCTATGGCAGTTATCGTCTATGGGGTGCCACATGGGAAAATGTCGGTCACTGTGAAACGCTGGCCTAGTCACGCCTGTCTCCAACAAGCACTCCTGTGGGGACTGAGGACATGAATGGTGGCCAAACCAGGCACACACGTTCCGCCTACTGAAGTGTGAATATTCAGAGGATAAAGGGGGTGACGAGTACATAAATACAGTCAGGTGCAAAACTTACCAGCTATGGAAAGCAATAAATCAGGGGGAGGAGAAGAAACAGTGGGGGGGAGGTACTAAAAAATGATGCAGAAGAGAGGGTCGGCAGGATAAGCCTCATTGAAGATGGCACTGACGCGGGACATCAGAGAGGACGGAATAAGCCCGTGGAGTCCCTAGGTCCCCTGTGTCCAGGCAGAAGGTGCAGGAGCCTTCTCTTTTTGTTGTTGTGAGGAAGCTGCTGTGGTTGGGTTTGGGTTGAGAGGGGAGTGTGATGACTGGTAATGTCAGATTCTGTAGGAGGATCCCCTGTTGTTTGACGGTTTGCAGCCATGTTCAGCACTTGACTTTGAATATGATGAGAGGCCACCAGAGCAAGTCCTTTTTCATCATACCTTAGGGAAGGACCAGTCTTTTTTTTTTTTTTGTCCTTTTACTTTTTTTTTATTTATTTATTAAAGATTTCTATCTCTTCCCCACCACCGCCTCCCATTTCCTTCCCCCTCCCCCAACCAAGTCCCCCTCCCTCGTCAGCCCAAAGAGCAATCAGGGTTCCCTGCCCTGTGGGAAGTCCAAGGACCACCCACCTCCATCCAGGTCTAGTAAGGTAAGCATCCAAATTGCCTAGGCTCCCACAAAGCCAATACGTGCAGTAGGATCAAAAACCCATTGCCATTGTTCTTGAGTTCTCAGTAGTCCTCCTTGTCCGCTATGTTCAGCGAGACCGGTTTTATCCCAGGCTTTTTCAGACCCAGGCCAGGTGGCCTTGGTGAGTTCCCGATAGAACATCCCCATTGTCTCAGTGAGTGGGTGCACCCCTCCCGGTCCTGAATTGAAAGCCAAAGATCCTAAACCACACCATGATCCTAACCATACACAAAGATCCCAAACTACACCATCATCCTAACCATACACAAAGATCCTAAACCACACCATCATCCTAACCATACACAAAAATCCTAAACCACACCATCATCCTAACCATACACAAAGATCCTAAACCACACCATGATCCTAACCATACACAAAAATCCTAAACCACACCATCATCCTAACCATACACAAAGATCCTAAACCACACCATCATCCTAACCATACACAAAGATCCTAAACCACACCATCATCCTAACCATACACAACGATCCTAAACTACACCATGATCCTAACCATACACAAAAATCCTAAACCACACCATCATCCTAACCATACACAAAGATCCTAAACCACACCATCATCCTAACCATACACAAAGATCCTAAACCACACCATGATCCTAACCATACACAACGATCCTAAACCACACCATCATCCTAACCATACACAAAGATCCTAAACCACACCATCATCCTAACTATACATTATACTGTCTCCCTTTGTTTCTACCTCTTGATGGTGTCAAGGATGTCAACTCAGAATTCTAGAAAAGTAGGCCAAGCCATGATAAATCATTCATTTGTCTTATTTTCTACTTTGTTTATTTTACAGCAATCTTTTGGTGAGCTGATGGGGTTATTGTGAGCCTTAATCAGACTTCCTTTACAAAGGGTGTTTTTTTGTCAGTAGGTTATAAATACATAGATGAATACACGCTGTTTAATTTGTTGCCTTTTGTTTATTTTCACCACAAAAGCAACTGTACATCTTTGATATAGAAAATTTTGAGTTCAAAAGAATTTAGGTCAAAAATTCAAAACAGCTATTCTTCTGAGTTGATTTAATTTACAAATAAGCAAGCAAAAGCTCATTCAGTCTTAGTTTAAGAATGACTTTTTCTGTGCTCCGTTCCCTGAATGGTATATAGAAGGCTTTAACCATAGCTAAGCTTGGTGCACATGCCTGTAATGCCTATAATTCCAGTACCTGGGAAGCTGACACAAGAAAATCTTGACACTGTCTAGGAAAGGGCATGCAGAGGCCAGAGAAAGCATTGACCACACTCACAGACGCAGGAAAGGTCCTTACAAATATGCCTCCTGGAAAACATTTAGCTTACTTTGTCAACCTGAAATACCTACTATTCTAAATACGGTTCCTATTTATAGTCTGTTCTCCTAATTATGATGAAGGTTAGTGTCAGATACTGAAGGAAAGGTGGGTTCTTAACCCCGCTGCCTTTTATGGATGTTTTCAACTTGGATTCAATTATAAATATAGCCTTCCAGTATAAATGAACGAATGACTGGATACAGCTTGCTTTGGACTAGAAATTATTTTAAGTCCCCTGCTGCCCAGTGTTGGGATTAAAAACTAAACTCAAAACCTATTTGCTATCTAACTGAAACACTTAAACACTGGAGGACAAATTAAAAGACATTGCCTTCAAAAGCTGTACGTGCTGACAGAGCTTCTGGAGGACAAGGGCAGAGGCCTCCTTTGAATAAACATGTCACCCTGAAGGTTATGGTAGTGTTGCCAGTCAAAACAAGTCCATGACTCTAACCTTGAGTTCAAGAAAGGAGATTGTGATATGACCTCATTAGTAAAGGATCAGTGGCAGCTTGAAATTCCTTTTTATTGCTTTTGTGCCTTTTATTCTTTTAGTGCTGAAAATGTATAGGCTAGGGCCAGCAGGGTGATCAACAGGTGTACATGGCCTGGTAACCTGAGTGTGATCCCCGGATCCCAAAAGATGGCAGGAGAAAAGTGGGCCCATAGAGTTGTCCTCTGAATCCACACTCATGCAGGCATACATGCGTCCGTGTGCACATGCGCACACACACATAAAGAACTCCTGATATGTGAAGAGGCAGCATGAAGAGCGAGCTCACTGGCTCTTCCCATCTGCACCCGTTTCTTCCAGTCATGAAGTAACCATCTGCCCAGTAACAGCACGTGTTCTGCCTCTCCTGCTGAGATGTGAGGCGTGATGTGTGTGACTTCCAGGCCTAGCTGGTGAATCTCCCAATGCTCCCTCCTGTGAACTGGAATGAGAAAGAAATCTCCCAGAGCATGCCCGGAGCATTGCGCTGAAGATGGCAGCTGTTCTGGGTCTCCTCTCTCTCTCTCTCTCTCTCTCTCTCTCTCTCTCTCTCTCTCTCTCTCTCTCCCTCCCTCCCTCCCTCCCTCCCTTCCTCCCCCTCCCCCCCCTCTCTCTCTCTGCAGCTCTTCGAGACTTTGGAGTTTAGACTTTGTGTTCTATGAGTTACCCTGAACAAGGCGACAGCTCTCACATTGATCGTTCCTGCTGAGCTATGCTGGACACCAGCACTTCAATGGCAAACGTGACCCAGACAGACCCCTGATCTCACCCTCATCACTTTCATAGCTTAGCTGCCCCAAACACACTTTGTCACAGTGTTTTTAATGCCTTTCTTTCTCTCTGTCATAGACCCTGCATAGGAAAGTTAAACATTAATTGCCAAAACACAGAGTGCAGAAGCCAATGCGTTCTTTCTGTATTCAATGGTACACAAAGGAAAGGACTCTTAGGTTTGCATATAAACAGGGCAAGGTCTGTTTAAAAGGAAGAACTTATTAGCTGCCTTTTCAGATGGAAGGGAAGCTATAGCTCAAACACAAAGGTGGCACCAAGGAGAAACTGCTCAGATTTCTTGTGATGTGCTTTTCTTTAAAAAAAAAAAAAATTAGTATTGACTTGTAAAGAATTGGGTTGTATTGCATTTTTTTTCTCCATCTCCTTCCTTCCTTTTTGCCCTCCCACCCCTATAGCCTCCTTTCCACTTCATGTCATATGAGACGTTCCACCCCTTCCCCCTACTTTCCTCACAGTCCTTGTCCTCCTCTTTCTATCTAGTTTCAAACTCTGTACCTGCTCCCTGAACTCCTTACTTGTTAGACTCACAAACATTAAAAGCTAGGGTCCTCATATGAAAGGGAAGATGTGTCTGTGTATTTCTGTAACTGGGTCACGTTGTTTAACATCATGTTTTCTGTTCTATCCATTTTGCTGCAAATTTCATGGTTTTATTCTATTGTGTATACCACATTCTCATTATGCATTCTTCTGTTGATGGACATCTATGCAGGCTTCATGCCCTTTTAGCACTGAATAATGCATCACTAAACCTGGATGCGTAGGTGTCTCTGTGGTAAGATACGGAGTGCTTTGGGTATGTGCCCTGTCGTGGTAGTGCCGAGTCATGTGATCGTTCTATTTTTAATCCTTTGAGAAACATCTAGACTGATTTCCATTGTAGTTGCACTAGTTTACACTTCCCCATTAGCAGATAAGAAATGTAAAGAGCACTTCTTTTTTATGCGCACAGTCGAAACCAGGACCTTGCTCTACTGCTGAGCTACACGCCAAGACCAAGAGAGGCCTTTGGACCAAACTCATTTATAACCAGACCATTCTACTCATCACTGCCTATTGTTTACACAAGGTCATATTAGTATTACATTCCACAATGGGAATAAATTAAACTGGGCATGAGGGTACATAACTGTGCCCTGGGACATTAAAGATGAAGGCATGAGGACCACCTCGAGAGCATCCTATATTACATGAGACTTTGTCTCAAACAACAATGACACAGACTAAGAAAAAAAGGATATTAAATGAACAGTGATAGTTATATAAGTTCTGACTAGATTCAAGATCGATCCTCCATTGCATTGCAAACCATCCTGATTTTCTGGCAATCTGATTCTTACACTTTATCCGTAAAGGCTTTTTTAGCTAATGTGGATGTCACTGTACGCCATTTCCACAACGGTGTCAGTTTTCTATGCTAAAAGGATGACAGGACTCCATAAACCTTTGAGCCAATAATCATCATTTTAACCCAGTGTTCCCTATCTAATTTTTTCTGGCTTTTCTATCTGAAAGAAAGGAGGGTATGCCATTGAATTTTCTTTCCTTCCCTCATAGCAAACCATGTTTGTCTGTTACAGAACGTGGAAAGTCTTGGTTCTGTGCCGTCCCATGGAAGACCAGGACCGGAAGCTGTTGAACTGAGATCCAATGAAAGGTAATTTTAGAATTTTCTTCTTACCCTGTTTTCAAGGGCATGAAAAGATTTCTTTCACTAAATACAATGTGAGTTATAAGACCTGGGGGGGGGGGGAGAGTAGATAGAAAGGATTGTGTGTGGCCAGCACTATTTATTGCAGAGTACTTGGCATACAGACTCTATTATTATGGCTAATAATCACATCTGTGTGTAGTTTTCATATAGGTTTTATTTCTCTATGTGCATTATTTTTAGGATATAATATTTTTCCAGGGAATGGTGGTATATACCTTTAATTCCAGCACTCAGAAGGCAGAGGCAGGCAAATCTCTGAGTTCAAGGCCAGCCTGGTCTGTAGAGTGAGTTCTAGCACAGACAGGACTACACAGAGAGACACCGTCTTGAAGAAACAAGATATAATATTTTTATTAACTATTTGAAATTTTCATAAAATCTATTTTGATCATATTCCACCTCTCTCGTCCAACTTCCCCAAATCAATCCCTCTCCCTGACCCATCCAACATCATGTTGTTTTTTAAAAACAGACAGACAAACCCAAGTGTGTTGTCTAAATATTCTTGGGTGTGAGAACTACCCTGATGTGTAGGTCACACCCTGAAATAAAACTGACCCTTCCTCTCCTAGCAGCTATTAAATGCCAAGAGTGCCTCAGTTAGTGTTGGGACTAGGGTCACCCTCTACCCTCCACTCCCCACAACCCCACCAATGCCGACACTTTGTCTTGCGCATCTACAGATCTTGAGCATGTAGTCATGAAGCTGCCATGAGTCCCCATGTGTTGCTCTACTCATAGATTAGTGCATCTCCAGGCTGCCTAAATCTTAACTTTCTCTTCTATTTTATTTTTGAATTTTATAAGAATTTGGTTTTAGAGATACTCTGGCCACTTCTAAAAGAAAATTATAGTATGAGTAGATAAAAGTGGTTATAAAATAAATGGACAATTTATGTGTTTTTGTTGTTGTTCATAGCAAAGAAAATGGAAGTGGTAGTGGAGACCCTCAGCATTGTGAGGTGAGTATCTAAAGAAAGAGTAACTGGTAGGGCATAACCCTTGTTCTTGAGTGTGCTTGGGGATGTCACTAGCCTGTTGGTAAGAGCCAATGAAGTAATTGACAGGACTGTGGTTAGAATGGAGGGTAGAGCATTCACCTACCATGTACAATGTCCTAGGTTTGATCTCTACCAGTAAAAAAAAAATTCTTTAAAAATGGAATCTAAAAATTTAGCATCTTTCTCCTTGGAAAACTGCACATTCACATGAAGCCATTATAAATTAATGAAAACCTCCCCACTAATGCTGTAGATTTATTGTATTTCTTCTACTCAATTCTTGCAATGTATGCTTCTTCATCAACCTACCTAGAGAGCTGGTCATAGTTCTTCATGCCTGTAATCCCAGCGCCCAAGAGTCTAAGGCAGGAAGAATGGCAGTTGGGCTACATAGCAAGACTGTCTCCTTAAAACTAACCTAGGTAGAGACTGTCATCTTCTTTTTCGAATTCAAGTTTCAGCTTCTTAGATAATTCCTTCATAGCTAGCTTATTTCCAGCTCAAGTATCCACAGGACAAAAGCAAGAGGCTGGTGTGCTTTCCTTATCTCTAGGGTCTGTGTCAAAGAACACATCTTCTTTTCCCTGCCTTCTTCCTTGACTCACAGAAAGCCCTTTGACATTGAACCTAAAGCGTGCCAGTCTCCTGGAGATGTCTTCTTAACTGTTCTGGGATAAAGTGGAGCAGAACAGTCTTGTCAATGAACTTCATGATTATAAATCATAACCACAAATGGCATATGGCTTACAGTGGCTTCCTTATCTCTTTGGGTCATAGCACAATCACTGGGACAGATCTTAAACTCTCCTGAGTGCCAGGCCTTCTTACATGTGTCATGCATATGCAGCACCAGTTTCCAAGAGTTACACGTTCCTTTCTCCTGAGGTTTGAATTAAAATTTACTTAGTGACATTAAAAAATTGAATCACTTCAAAACACTACAAATGAAAGTAGGGTTTCTTTGGACAGGCCTTGGAGAGATTGGCACTTTAATAAACTATCTTCCTTGGGCCGTATGAACGGAGGTAACTTAAGGAAGAGGTAGCGAGTGTTCTATGACACATGGAGCCTACAGTGCTTTCTCTTTCTTTCTGAAACTCATTGACAACCACAGGTATCTGGGAGAGAAGGCATCCTTACCACTCTTAGGTCCGCCTTCTAAAACATATAACTGAGATACATTTTCTGACTTGTGCTTACTATAGAGGTGCCCTACAGTTTGGAGTCTTCTGTAAGCTAAGCATTTCTCTTTAAAGATTTAGTTGGTTTTTTGTTTTGTTTTGTTTTAAGTATATGTCTATCTTTGGATAGATATGCCTATGAGTGAGAATGTCCATGGAGGCCCGAGGCATCGGATCTCCCTAAAAGCTGGAGTTATAGGCAGTTTTGAACTGCCCGATGGGGATGCTGGGAAGTGAACTTGGGGGTCTCTGTAAGAATAGTAAACACTCTTAATCAGAGCCATCTCCCCAGCCCCCAGCTGAGCAATTTTCTATTGTGAAAACACTATACTTCATATGAAAGTCTGAAATATTCAAACAATAAGCTCATAATGAATCTTTTGCTGTGGAAGAAAGAGAATCAAGGATTATTGACTTATGAAGAGCGGTGCATTATCTGGAAGATATAATTTTATTTCAGAATTCTAGGTCAATGAAATGGCAAATTCTTTCAAGACATTTTTATGCCTTCTAAGCCCACTGATTAAGAGTGATTAGAAGCATACCTCTGATAACAAACAGGACATTCATCATAAAAGCCTATTTCCCTTTTATTCCTCCTCCTTCAAAAAAGTAAGTAAATAAAAGTAGGAAGAGAAAAAGAGGAGAAGGGAAGAATTTAAGCCTTGCCCTGCAAGACTGAGAGTTGATTGTCTCACCATCTCAAGTCCAAGCTCTCACTGACCCTGAGAAACAGGACACTCAGTGCTCACCGCAAGCCCCTGGAGCTTGTGGCACTCACAAACCTTGGGGATGTGTTATGGCTATAGTCCTTTATTATCGCCCAAACAGTAAGTGCTGGTGGTTTCCTGTGTCTAGTTAATTCCAGGGTTTCCTGGGAAAGCTGCCTTGTCCAGCAGCCTCTAGTGTTGTTCTTCATCCTACTAAGTCCTCAGCCACATAATCAAGTCTTGTCCATGTACCCAAAAGAGAAGGAAGGGCACATAAATTCTCCTATCACCAGTAGCCGAGGAAGGGGGCAGAGCAGAGACAACAGGCCAGGTGCAGTCCCGACAATGATGAGACTGGGGAACTTAGGTTAATGGCCTGGATCTGCATGTGGAATGTCACCTGTGACCCAGGTAAGACAGGCAGTCTGTATGGGCTCTCTGCCAGCCTTCCCTTTCCCTTTATAACTTCTATGACACCGGCACTCGGACATTCAATGTTTCTCTTCCACGTGCAATTCTCTACCCTACTCACTTGTGAATTCTGTTGCCCAGAACATGCTACTATTCCATAAACATTTGCCGAGTGAACAAGGAAAGGGGTGGGGGAGAAATGGAAATCTCTTTACCCTGACTGTGGGTGATCTGTTTGTATGTGTTTTCCATTTGCCCCTCACAACAACCTTAAGATGCTCAGTCCAGGGTTAGACAAAGGGAAGCCGTGGCTCAGAGAGGCTGGCTCACAGGTCTTAACAAAGGTAAGCTGCTATTTAACCTCACGTCTCCGCCTCCAGAACCCATCTTTATCTCCCTGCTGTATTGGATCCTCTATGAGCCACCCATTATTCCATTAAGCAAAGATTCATTGTTTTGTATGTGAGGCAGCATTTTGAGGTTCACTGTGCTCCGCATCATACCGTGAAGGATTTCTGAGTTGAAAATTGTGCAATTAAATTTATTTTTGATTTAATTTAAGATACTGGATGTGTAAATAACAAAAGTTTAAACCAAAAATATTTTGGTGTTTGAGAGTGCCCTTGACATGGTTAACCTGAGTGATCAAAGGGATAAGAGAAAGAGATAAGGAAATAGGCAGTATTTGCTGTGTCTATGATAAGCATTCCTAGAGAGTATTGCTTCCTCGGCAAGGTGCCTCCACCAAGGTCCGTGCAGGAAAGAAGAGGAGTTTGTCTTCTTGCACATGGCTACCGAGCTGAGTAGCCACTGAGTAGCAACCACCATCACTGCCCACTCCTGTGCAGTAGCCAATTGGGCAACCTTAGGCCAGGAGAGCACATGAGCTTCATAGACCACTTGTGCCAGAAACTAGGACTCAGGCTGCTAGGACTAGAGGACAGGTAAAACAGCAACCTCAGGGATGGGGCACAGCCCAGCAAGTCGGAGCCAAGCTGTGCATGAGTTCCCCTGAGACAGAGCATGCTTGCTCTGCAAGTCTGTCCGTCATGTTGCAAGCTAGGACAGGTGTCGGGAAGAGGGGCTTGTCCACTGTTGTTCCAAGAATCAACTTCAGTTAACCTATGTTTCACTAAGCAGATGTCCCACATCACACTGAATGGTGCCCACCCTGGTGGCCTGTCCTTGCCCTATTTCGAAGTGTCCACTTGTTATCCCTGAATCGCATAAAAATGGCAAGACCTCATTAAACAAAGTGTCACATGCTTGTTTCCACCTTCCTGAAATGCTGTTCCCAATGACAGCCCATTCCCTCACTTCCTTCACACCTCTACGTGCGTGTTATTATGGGAAAGGGACCATCCCTGTCCACACAGATAAAGTAAGACACCTCGTCCACTGTCGCTACACCCATCTTTCCTTGTTTTATCTCCATAGACCTAATGCTGTTTTAATTTTTAAAACGTTTATGACTTGTTTGTTTCTACTTTATGTGCCAGGGTGTTTGGGCCCACACATATGTCTGTGTACTGTGTGTGTGAAGCATCTGTAGACGCCAGAGTCAGACCCCCTTGATCTGGAGTTACAGACACTGGGAGCCACCACGTAGATGCTGACAATGGAACCTGGGTCTTCGGCAAGCGCAGCAGTGCCCTTAACCACTGAGTCGGGCAGCACCATGGTGTACTTCATTATGCTGTGCTTTGCTCAGCATATGGAGGCTGCCAGCCATGCCCCTGCTTCTGGCCCTTTAGGCTTCTGCCATCACACTTCCCAGCCTCAGGACTGTCCACCTCGGAACCCCTTCTCTCACTGTGGCCATGGTGTTCCGTGCTTTATTTGACTTCGTACTTCTCCACTCCCTCCTCTGTGACCGGCCCTCCTCTACAGCCTTTCCACCCACACCTCTTGCCCGAGTCGCCTGCTGCTACTGATTAATGGCAAACACATTGGTAACTCTGTGTGCTGAATTTTTTTCATGATGTGGAAGTGTGTCCCATCTTTTGATGTAGCGTGCTTTACCTAATATTCAGTCATACATGCTGTGTCTCCTAGTCCCTCACTAGCAGTTTGAGAGCCTGGCATTTTACTCATTGGCCTTTACATGGTGTCTTATAACAACAAAAAGAATGCTAGCTTCTGCCCGGCTGTCCCTTTTTCTGTTGTAGGCTCTGATTATCAGCTCTTAAATCTCCACAGAGCTTTACAAGATTCCTGAGAAATACTTCTCTACTATGTACACGTCCCTTTTCTCTGTCTTACACATGTTCACCTATGACTTTTGACTGATTGTCCCTAAAACACCTGGTTCACTGAGGCTAATCGCAAGGAACAAGTGATTTCTGTAATACGACCATATCCCAAGAGAAAGACAACGTGCTTAGAATGTTCTAGAGTGTAAGGTTGCCATGGCGTTCTCACGTGATGCACGACCTTATTGGAGTTTGGTTTTGTTCCCAATGTGAAGAAAATGCCAGTCTTCAGGATTCGCTCAGTAGAAACAGAATAATAAAAAAAATTAAAAATCATTGCATATTCCCCTGGTGATCTCAAAGTGGGTCGGACAGCTATTAAAAGGAGCCGAAGGTCTTAAACAGCGCTTTAGTTTAAGTATAACAACATCTCCTACATTAGTGAATGTGCTTACGGTTTCCAAATGTTCTTGGCTTTTTATTTTAATAATGGGGTAACTAAAAATAAGTGTTCGTTTATCCCAAAGAAAATATTTTGTGCAGATCTGTGCTACTTGAAAAGTACACTTTTGAGTAAAACTGTTCAAGTGCGGTCATTTCTGATTTCATGAAAGTAGGAAGATCCAGAGCCGCTTCATTTACAGCATGCCAGGAGAACAAGGCAAAGAACAATTTGATACAAAAGAGTTCATTTAAGTGCTACTTTTAAGGCACACACAGAAGCATTTAGCTTAAATATCGGCCTTTCAGGGAAGGTTTTCCTTCCCATCAGATGTCCTAGCCAAGTGTAGGTGCTGCCAGTGGCAGAGCCAGATGCAGCTTTAGTATTCAAGGTAGATGAACAATAAATAGCAAAACAACTGACGATTGCATATTTGTAAGGTATAAATTCCAAATCACCTACTTGCCGGCTCTTACTTTTTACTAGGCGGGGAAGACTGTTCTCCCTGTAATCTTGGCTTGTTTTCAGGGTCTATTCCTCACTGCTAGCCCAGATGAAACACCAAACCCGTGTCGTTTGAATTTGCGCAACAATGCTTTAATACCCAGAGCGCCTCCATGAATAGTCTGTTCTCCCCACACTCTGGAGAAAACAGCCCCATTTAATTGATCTAAGCCTGAGGGCTCAGAGGAGTGTGGTGTCCCCTGCTTCTGCCCCTGCCCTTGCAGGAATGTTTACCTAAGCGGCAAAAACACTGCTTGCCAGACACACCATGTTGCTGCCGCAGCCTTAGCAACCGTAGCCAGCTTTTTGTTGTTGTTTACCATCTGGTGGGCCATGCTCCTTTAAGAAACATAAACTCCTTCTCCTCCTCACGGGCCACAGTCTGTAATCACTCAAGACCTGTCAGCTGCCTGAAGTCGTCCAGAGAAGCAGCCCAAGTAAATCCTAAGAAGAAAAGTTAAAGGCTGGCGGATGGACAGAGGCTTTTTGCATGAGAGTAGCCAGATAGCGCCCAGGGGGGCATCAAGCCCTGGTTTTTATTTCTGCCATGGAAGTGTTAGCAGCTGGGACTTGGGAGGTTGCATTCAGAAGGCGTGGAATCGCTGTGAATGGTTTTGCATTTTGGTGAACAGTAGCTCTTAGGGAACGCTGTGCTGTTCTTGCAGAGCCCCGCAATGAAGATTCAGGAGCATTCCAGTATATCTGACACCAAACAACAGAGGAATCAAGATGCCGATGAGCAGCCGGAGAGCTTTGTCCCCGAAATGCCCCGGTTGGACCTGACAGCATTGTGCGATGGGAAGAACTGGGAAGGTAGGTGATCCTCTGCCACTGGGGTGGTCTTGCATTGAAAAAACACGGTGCATAAGTCTATTCAAGGTGTGTGGCTGCATGCCTGTGTGGATGAGAGTAAGAGCTACGCATGCAGAAGAATCTGGGTTTCTATAAAAAAAATTTAAAAAGACCGAACATCCTTTACCAGGCAGCATAGAAACATGCTGTGTTCGGTGTTGCTAAGGGTAGTTGCAGTACAAGCAAGGAAAGTAGGAATGCTTTGTCCGAGTGTCACCTTGCAGTATGTTTTTAACCCACCAAGAGTGCTGCCCTGCTTGTAGTATGCTGTGGGAAGCCGGTCACCCACGACCTCATCCACTGGCCCTCATCTTCAGCTGCCCCCTACCAGTCACCCCACATCACTCCCTTCCTGCAGTACACCTTCCAAGTTTTCAAGGAAGATGTTTTTCTCTGCTTTACTTCTTTCAATGTATGCATTTAAAATAATCCAGGTAGACACACTAACGAGAACACTGAACGAAAGCGCATCTTTGCTGAAAAGACATGGTTTTAGAATTTTTTTTTTTTTTTTTTTTTTTTTTTTTTTTTTTTTTTTTTTTTTTTTTTTTTTTTTTTTGTCCAGAGATGTCTAGTGAAAACATCAGAAATTTACTTTGAGGAAGAAGTTAGCTCTATCAAAACTATGTCAGAGGGGGCCCTCCAGCAGTTCTATCGAACCGCCTTCTTTATCCCTCTGCCTACACTCAAAGCCATGTCAGCACCCTATATAGTGTGTTTCTAAAGGCCCCAGCCAGGGAGAAATGGGCTCCTGGCTTCAGAACAGCCGCATAACTTAACATAAGGCCTTAACGGAGAGTCAGAGCTATGAGAATCAGCCCTGCTGGTGTGTGCATTCCCTGTCCCCTCCCCAGACCCACCCCTCTTTTATCTAATGGCCAAAGTCCCTCGGAAAAGCCCACATGCTGAAAGGTTGACCTAGTTACTGTCCTGGCATGCAGGGCTTTGTGAGAAAGACTGTTTTATTTCCATTTTGCCTCCTGTAATCTGAGAAACCCGTTCTGGTTATTTTCATATAATTAGGCAGCAGATCCAAAATTTTGACACATCAACCCAGCTCAAGATATTCGGAGAACGAAAGAGGCCATGGTTGGCTTGCTTCATGTTAAACTTAACTGATCTGTTTCTGACTATCAACTAGTTTGTTATTCATTTTTGCCCACTTTGAAATAATTGTATGTCTTTTTAATCTATAAATTCACAACAACCTGCCTTCCCTACCCCCAAAGAATCTCAGGATGGTCACTGATGTCTAAATAAGAACAAAAGGAAAATAAATAATGTATTTGCATTTATGTGATATAGTCAATCTTATAGCTTTTAAATAAAAAGGAGAAATCGGAGCCAGAATTCAAATGAGCTGCAGTCACATTCTGCTCCTCCCCTGAAATGGACGGCACTTTCTTTTATGATTTTTCTTGGTTAATCACAAATTTAAAATTTTCTCTCAATACACATAACCTAAAATAAAGCTGAACATATTCTCCAGAGTGGTTGAAAGTCATTTTGGAGTTTCTTAGAAACCATCCCGTTACTTTTAAAGCATTTTTCTGCAGAGAATAAAAGTGAGGAGAGACCAGCATCTTCTTTAGAAGGCTGGGCAGGATGTTTTCTAAACGGTCACTTGTGAAAATACACTTTACAGGCTGCCTCAGGCCCAAGACCTGTGTGGGCAAACTGCCGCCGCTGCCGTTCTGTTCTCCCGTACACATGCGATTGTTGTTGAACTTCTGCACCTTTAAAATCTACAGGGATTCATTCTCAAGGTCATTTTGACTGTTTGGTTATTGCTCTCAGCAACCTTTTTGCAATTACATATTCTGATTTCCAAATTTCTTTGTGACGGGAACATAGCCAGAAGTAGAGTCAAAATAAAGAAGCCAATTTGTGAAGCGAGAGTAATTGACAACAATAAATTTGATGGCTAGAAAATCATCTTATTTAAAGCTTCAGTGGAAACAAAAAGGTGTTTTTCTAGTAGCAAATAACTTCACACTCGTTTAAGTTGTGCACACAAAAGAAAAGCAACAAAATATGAAGATGGAAGCAATAATCACCAAAGTGTACAGACCAATATCCACACTCGGCCTTCAGCACCCCCACACCCACTCTGTGGAGGGACACTGGGTTTGCGTGCCTGCTCCCTGGCCTGTGTCATTGGTCACAGTCTGAGGTGGAGCCAGGAAGAGTCAGCTGATTTTGGGTGGCATGCATGGCTGTGGCCGGAGCCCTGCAGCCTGTGCCTGGGAAATAATGTTCTCTGAGATCTTAAGCTTAGGATCAAGGGAACAATGAAAGAGATTGAAACAGTAAGTAGATCCCATAGTCTATGGAGTGGAGCCATTGCAAAGTGAACAGAGGTCCCAACTCAGCTTGCCTGTTGGCATATCATCAACCATGCCTTCACATTTTAAGACTGAAATCAGTCAAAGAGTTATTCTTTTTGGTGTAGGGCCTCAACCCTCCAAAGTTAAATGGCTACACAAATTAAAGGCGCTGCTCTGATACTGAAAGATAATTAAAATTGTGTAATTAAAAATGTTATTAAGTCCCATGCGTGCTGATGTGTAAACACACAGCTATCCTTTTTTGCCCTGAAATTAGACTTAAAGAGCACTTTGACATGAGAATGGTAGCTCACACTTGTAAACCCAATGTGGGAAGAGAGGCGGCAGAATCACAACTTTGGGGCCAGCCTGAGCTATAAAGTGAGATCCTATAGCCCAGGCTGGCCTTGAATTCAAGTTCCTCCTACCTCAGCCTTCTAAATGCTGGGATTACCGGTATGTACTATCACAAACAGTTATCAGAATATTTTTAAAGGTCACAAGATGCTAAATTTTTCTCATTTATTACTTAAAATGGACAACAACTTTGGAGAGAAATTCTCCAAAACTCTCCAAGAGTCATGAAGAGGGACTGACGAGATGGTTCAGTGGGTAAGGGCGCTTGTCACCAAGTCTAATGACCCTCGTTCAGTCCTCCGAACTTACACTATAAAAGTAGAAAACCAACTCCCAAAAGTTGTCCTCTGTCCTCCACATATGCACCACAGTGCCCTCAAAGACAATCAGTCCATCCATCCATCCACTCATCCATCTACAGCGTACACAAACACAATCTATCCATCCATCCATCCATCCATCCATCTATCCACTCATCCATCCATAGCATACACAAACACAATCCATCCATCCATCCACAGTGTACACAGACACAATCCATCCATCCATCCACTCATCCATCTACAGCGTACACAAACACAATCTATCCATCCATCCATCCATCCATCCACTCATCCATCTATCCATCCATGTAGAAACACATTTTAAAAGAATCATGAAGAAGCAAGTTATCATAAAAGACCTCCAATTGAACCCTCCCGTCATATAATTAAGAAAAGTTGAGCATCTCCTAACTTCTAGCTCATGCCCAAGGGATACTAATCAGGCATCCCATCAAATAAGGTAGATGAAAACCAAACTTTGTGTTCAAATCCTGGCTCTGCTACTTGATCAGTTCTGTGGGCCTCTGTCTCCATTTTGCCTTGATGCCATTGTCCTTAAATAGATGTAACAACAACAGCAAAACATAATACATAATAAATAATATTTATGATTATAAAATAATCATTGTTTTGCATGGATTAAATGAGCTAGTATCTGCTGTCCTCCACATCCTATGGGCACCGTGTAAATATTACTGCTTTTCTCTTGCACAAATATCTCTAAATATACTACTTTTGGGGAAAATTCAACAAATACTTTGTATGAAATTTTCAAAAACTTAATAATTTTTTAAAGAAACGAAATCAATACTAATGAGGCAGGCCCTCCACATATTGCTAAGTGCTGCCCATCACACAAAGCTCAGTTCGGTTGTTTGTAATAACTGGATTGGGAAGTGCTGCCCTTGCAGAGGGAGCAGCTGGGCCCTGGCAGGGTCGTGCTGACCGCTTTCCCTGAGGCACATAAGGAATAGAAGACAGGTAGGGCGGTACATTAGTAACTGATTGAGAAACTATGTGTAGCCGGGTAGTGGTGGCACACTCCTTTAATCCCAGTACTTGGGAGGCAGAGGCAGGCAGATTTCTGTGAGTTTGAGACCAACCTTCAGAGATTTCTGTGAATTCTGGTCTGCAGAGCAAGATCCAAGACAGCCAAAGCTACACAGAGAAACCCTGTCTAGAAAGAGCAAACAAAAGAAACTATGCGTGGGCAAACCCCAGGGTCAGTCACCCCAAAGAGCATTGTTCTTATTGCTTCAAGTTGTCAGCCCTGTACTGTTCAACAATTTAAGCAGACCTATTGAGGCCCTGCTTCTCAACTTTGCAGATAGAGGTAAAACATATGCATGAGCCTTCAAAATTAAACCTGGGCCTGATACAGCTGACTTCTAAGGTTTCTATTAATCTGATAATTGCAAGAGTTTTTGAACAATTCAGTAAGACTGCCATTGTTCTAAGGTTGAATTTTGGAGCACTAAAAGGAATTTATGAAAGCAGTCCCTTCCCCCCATTGTGGCCTCCATCTTTCCAAGTCTGAGATGGACGAGCACCACTTTGAACAGCTGAGAAGAAAGTTATGAGGTTGTAACAACAGTGATGACTCTAAATAACATGGAAAAGAAACATGGAAAATATCATCTCCTTTAATTTTGTTCGGATGTCTTATAAATAAGTCATTCCAATAACCAGTTTCTTCTATATAGCCAAGGGCTCCAGCCAGATTAGAGGGCAGCTGTCTCGATACCCTGCACCAGCACTGCTCCGAGGTGAAGGCCTTCCTGTGATGAGTTCATTTCCCTTTATGCCCCTGTGAATTGTGGTGTCTGAATTAGGACGCCTCAGAACCTATTCCTATCCCTGAGATAGCAGGACCACAGCTTTTCTATTTGTTATTCCTGATGACCTGCTATGGTGCCAATGACCTGAATGAATTAATTTTTAATTAAAAAATGGCATGATTCTGTCTAGAGTTCATTGTGAGGGTGCTGGAGGGAGTTTTATTTGAAAATGAAAATGTGCTCATTTTAGATCCTGCTGTGGGAGGAGAATCCAGTGTAACGCCTTGCATCTTCTCTGTTGTCCCTTTGAATACTTTTCTGGCAATACCCTTGTTTCAATGTTCTGGAGTTACTGACTAAATATAAAATCCTTGTCCAGCAGCTGTTAGAAATGGCTGCCGAAGCATATTCGTAACTGGCTCTCTGTAAAGCAATGTAAAGCACATACTCTACTTCACACTCTTCAGGGCAGTTATCTGGCTTCCTAGTTGAGTGAACACTAGCAAATGTAAGCTAGAATATTTCAGACTAACATGGGGAACTGGCTGTATTGATGCCTTAGTACAGGAGATACATACTACATGCCACTGTGTGACTTTCTTAAATGAGGTGCTTTAAATGTGAGACTCTATGGAAGGGAGAAATGGAGGACACTCACCTAAGTGTTCCATGTTGCAGAAGTGGGGAACTTTCCACTTCTGTTCCATCTGCAGACCAACGATGTCACATTCCTCTTTGTTAAAGTGGAAATTCACAATGGCTTTACATCTCTAATCTCTCAACAATGGGTTCAGCTGCCCTACCTATGTGCTTTCGTGGGAAAGTGCAAGAAATTCCTCAGCTGTCTTATTTCCGATCCAACACTGGTAATTCTAGGAAAGGATGTATTTGGATTTTCTGTTTGCTTGTTTTTGTTTGTTTTGTTTGTCATTGAAATGACTGCATCAGGACAGAGACACGAAATGAAGCTACATTAAACAAGAGAACGGACAGACAGCTTCGGGTTAGCTCCCAAGCACCACTCTTAATTCAGTCGGTTTATGATGAACTCATGACCCTATGGTCATGAACAAATGCTTGAAAACTCAAAGATGTTTTCATTTTAGAAAATGTATTCTGCTGGATGAAAATTCAAATTGAGGGGGTCAGGATCAAAAGTAAAATCCTTCTTTTCAAGCTGTATTTCGTTTTTCTTGAGAAATAGAAATGTCAAAGTAACTAGCATGCTCTCACGCCAATATCAACACCATACTTTGTGATATCAAAGCTCCATGCCCCCCCCCAAAGCAGCTCTCCCTTCCCTCAGTTGTTCACCCCTCTGTGGAGCAGCTGTGGTCAGCTGCAGGGCTTCTTTGGCTGACTTAACCCTCTTCCAGTCTGGACTGACTTGATTTTTATCTTAGGAAATTGAAGATGTAGTCTGATCAGTTTAACAGTCTCATCTTCTGCAACTTAACACTAAAGTTTATGTTTCCCGCAGAGATTCCTTTGCCCTGGCTCTCTCCTCTCCTTGAGGTTTTCATGCTTTTATGCTGGTAAAGCTACTCAGTCCTAAACCTGCTTGTTAGCTGATACCATTAGTCTTAAGAATGAGATGTTTGTCTCCTGGCTTAGCCACCCACATGCATTGCCCGATGTTTTGAGCCTCAATAAACAAGCCTTTTTTTTTCTTGAACATTTTTATTTTTAAAAAATATTTATCTCTGTTCCCAGATATCTTGAGTTTTTTTAAACTTTTCAAACCTTGTTCTTTATGACTTAATATTTTAGGTGGACCTGCTAATCTTTCCTCTTTTTGCTGTGAAGTCTTCCTGAGTTTCAGGTAGTCATCACTGATGTTTGTAGCTCTGACACATTCTAAAACAAAACCCTAACTTAGAAGTTAGAAGTCAAGAGGGCAGGCCCACTCTTCTCATTCACTGGGGGCTTGTACTTAACTTCTTCAGATCCAGTAGCCTTATCTTTCTACAGCCTGGAATCAGTACTTCTCAGACTTGACAACCATGGGGGCACTTGACTCATTGGGGCGGTTTTTAAGTATGTGCACACTTACGTGTGTGTGTGTGTATAGATGTACATGTGTGTATGTGTTTGTCAGTTTGCTTGTCAGTTGTGCCTAGACCTTCACTTAAATACACTGTATTTGGGGTGAGTTAAGGATCTGTATCTTGATACCTACTTCCCTGGGTAAGCATGTAACAAAGGTGCGAGGTTTAAGAATGCGGCTAATCTGGTTCTGACATTCTGGGATTATAATCTTGTCTTTCTAGATACAAAGCTTAAGCACATTTATTCCACATAGCTGCATACATTTTCAAGCTTCATAGTTGAAGGAGCAACTAGGTGTTCTCTGGTTCAAACTCTAGGACTCCCAGAATCTAAGGTCATAGCAAGTACTAACTAGCCTTATGGGCATCACTAAGTGGCAAGTGCATTTGAAGTTTTTATGCAGAGTATTACAAGTGGAAAATGGCATGCTGTACAAGATCTGCTTTGAAATCTTTGGAATATAGTTTTAAAGCATTTCTTAATATTTATCTGTTTTGTACAGGGCAGGGGGTGTGTTGCACCTGGCCACAGTGAGCATGTGGAACTCAGAGAACAACTTGAGAAGTTGATTCTCTCCTTCCACCATGGTTCCAGGATTAAATTCTGAAACGACAAGGGCAAAGCACAGGAAGAAGCAGGCTAATCCTGAGTACCATGCAGAGAAGCACAAAGAGAAGCATGTTAATCTTGTGTGCTATGCGGAGAGATGCAGGGAGATGCATGCTAATCCTGTGTACCATGTAGAGAGACCCAAAGAGAAGTATACTAATCCTACGTACTACGCAGAGAGGCATGAGGAGATGCATGCTAATCTTGTGTACCATGAAGAGGAGACACAGGGAAAAGCATGTTAATCCTGTATACTAGTCAGAGGTACAGAAAGAAGCAGCAGATCCCATGTCCTGGGCAGAGAGGCCCTGGGAGATGGCTTACTAAATGACCCACACAGAGACTGTAAAGTCTTGGTAAATAAGATCTCACACGTCTGACATGGCTCCTTAGTCATCAGAAGAGTCAGAGGGCACGTACACTCTCCCTGACATTCATTCCTCTTTCAGTGGTGGTCCTGATTGGAAAGGTTTCACTCATCTGTTGGGGAAATTGGAATTATACACAGTTGGATATACACCTTACAGGTTGTTCCTTGGGGCAGCCCTAAGAAATTCTGTTTTGAAAGGAAGTAAGCATGAAGATAAAGACAGAGGTGGGCATGAGGTACAGTGGTGGTGTCAGCTAGATATAGTGCCTACTCTGGACCTGGGGTCTGAATGAGAAACCACTCGGAGGGCAGTCACGCAAAGCATTCAGGGAAACTGGGTAACAGTGCTCTCAAGAGCAATGCTCACCTCTTAACCCACATGTATTTTCCAGAGCCCATCCCTTCCTGGCAGCAAGAGAATGTGGACTCTGATGAAGCCCGCCTCTCCCCACAGGCTGGGCGCCTGATTCACCAGCTTCTGGATGAGGATAGTGACCCCATGCTGTCCCCCAGGTTCTATGCCTATGGGCAGAGCAGGCAGTACCTGGATGACACAGAAGTGCCTCCTTCTCCCCCCAATTCCCATCCTTTCATGAGGTATGTTCTATGCTGTTGATGGGCAATTTCCCCAGTCACACCACACTGGACCAGTTGGAATGACTAGCCCACTGACGGCCAGCCCTTTTGTCACAGTTAAGTCGGGAACTTGTGGAGAGACACACCCGAAGCTCTCCGTCCTAATACACAAGCTGAGCTGGAATTACTACTTATTCCTACTTGAGCTGTGGCCCAACTGCAGATCTCATTGTGAATTCCAATTAGCACCTCCTTTCCAAAGCTCTGTCAAATGTAACATGCAAGCTTATAACCCATTTCAGATTGCCCTGATAATGAAAGTGGAAATGAAAGACGCACAGCCCTGTTTAGTAGTTGGCGTGTGTGGGGCGCCAAGTCAGAAGTGCCCCCATCCACCTGGTTTTTTACAAAGAGGAGAGGATGGGTCACTCCTCTGTGCCTTATACTCTCAGACCCCAAAGCCACTCCCCATAATTACTGGTCGTTCACGGGGCTGCTAACCCAGGCCACGCTCTTCGCAGGCGGAGAAGCTCTTCCCTTGGGTCCTACGATGATGAGCAAGAGGACCTGACACCTGTGCAGCTCACCCGAAGGATCCAGACCCTTAAAAAGAAGATCCGCAAGTTTGAGGACAGGTTTGAAGAGGAAAGGAAGTACAGAGTGAGTTCTCCATGGGGTCTCCTCGCACCAACACATCCTTCAGCACAGCAAGCGGTGACTCCAAACCAGTGGGTCACAACCCCCTTGGGGGTAACATATCAGTTAGTGTGTATATCCCGTATTTATTTACATTATGAGTCCTAACAGTAGCAAAATTACAGTGATGAATTAGCAATGAAATAATTTTATGGTTGGGGTCACCACAATGTGAGGACCTGTATTAAAGGGTCACAGCATTAGGAAGGTTGCGAACCACTGATGCAGAGGAAACCAGAAGCTGATAAAAGAAGGGAATTTTATTTGTTGAGCTAAAATTTGATTCAAGATTATCTTCTACAGTTTCCTCCTTGCGGGCTCCTTCCACTATTGGCTCTGTCTCGTTTTCCCAAGCCAGTGGAAAGAGAGCGTTTTCCATGGCGGTGGCAGTATATATAAGCCCACAAACTCCTTCACTTCCTGTTCCATTGGCCTCATAAGCTGAAACACACAAATAATAGAAAAGGGGATATGGACGTCACAGGAATCCATGATCATAAAGATTCGTTCGTTTGCCCTTAAGGACATCTGTAGAAATATCAGAAATAAGCAGTAAAATGTTTACTCTAGACTTTCCTTCCCCAGCCCTCCCACAGTGATAAAGCGGCCAACCCAGAGGTTCTGAAGTGGACAAATGACTTGGCCAAATTCCGGAAACAGCTGAAAGGTAAGTGAAGTTGTGGACCTTCTGGCAAAGCCTGGTGTACAATAAACCAGGAGACAAACCCATTGGTCCTGCTGAGTGCCAGCTCTGGGGTGTCTCAGGCCTGAACCCTTCCCCGTTCTCCCAGATCTTTATGGGACACCATCCCAAGACTTTCATAGTCTCCCATAACCAGATCGGATAAGATATGAATTCCCCAACATGCCTTCATCGCCACACACTTCTCTTAGAAGGATGGTTTCACGTCAGTGCTTCGGAAGCACTTGTATAATCTGAAGGGGAACTTGCTGGAGTGCCAGAAAGCGGCTCGTCAGAGACAGATCTCAAAAGGGTGGAGGCCCGTTCCCTCAGACAGCTTGCTGTAGTTAGCAACTAGTCCCAGAAACAACTACATGGAATAAATAAAATGGGGTGTGTAGGTTGGATGGAAAACAGTGGTCAGTGGTTTTAAATCAGCACATCTACGTGCACTAAGGGACTGCATTGAAACTGTCCAGTTCCAAAATCAGAGCCCAAGCCCCAGTAGCCAAAACTCAGGTGCTAAAAGCTAACACTTTCCAGGAGTTAGAGTTTGGGAAACACTTCTGAAGATTCAGGAAGAGAGAGCCTACTAGTTTGGTTTATTTTCTCTTACACTATAATTCATTACTCTCTAGAAAAAGAAATCATAGCTAAGCTGTTATTGACTTGACAGTTGAAGCAACCTGGGTGAAGCAAATCTCACTCTCATGTATCTCTGTTTCCAAATCTAACTGCCTAGAGTCAAAACTAAAGATCTCGGAAGAGGACCTCACCCCCAGGACACGACAACGAAGCAACACGCTCCCCAAGAGCTTTGGTTCCCAGCTAGAGAAAGAAGATGAGAAGAAGCAAGAACTGGTGGATAAAGCCATTAGGCCCAGCGTTGAAGCTACCCTGGAATGTATTCAGAGAAAGCTCCAGGAGAAGCGAGCAGAGTCCAGCCGTCCTGAGGACATTAAGGTGTGATGCTCTTAGAGAGCCTGGGGGAATGGCCCATCCTCAACCAGTGCAGCCAATGCAATGAGAACACAGGTCATGCAGACTGGTGCTGAAACCTTTGCACACTTACCTCCTGGTCAGCTTGCTTTCCAGCCAGGAGATCCTCTCCTCTGCTGTCTCCTGGCATTACAGTTTCAAGTTCAGTGAGAGGAGGGAAGAGGACAAGGGATAGGGCAGGTCACACAAATCCCTATGAGCACAAAGATACCTTTTAAAACTTCCCACACATGTACAGAAGCATATGGAAGCTGTTGTGTTTCACCTGTGAGTGCTTTGGTTTCTGACTACCGATTGAGAGCAGATCACTGTGTTGATTCTATGGCAGAATGAATTTATTAGGGTTAAAAGGTGGCTTGACTCTGAGTAGAGGGATTATATGCAAGCCTTTCGGAGTGTATAGTCTGTAACAGAGGTTATTGCTGAATGCATTCAGCTCAGTCCATGTCTTCAGTGGGTCTCTCCTACCACGTAGGTGTTGATGACATCCAGGCAGCTGTTGACAATGGTGTTGTGTGCTGTGTGTTCCAGTGGTAGGTCAAGAGGCTCTCATTCCCGTGTGAGCTTTGGACAGAGCATTTTAACCCTTCCGTTAGATGAGCTTCACAAAATAAAGAAACTGGGATGTGCCCAAATATTTTCCTCACGTTTCATTTCTTTCCTCTGTTTACACAGGATATGACCAAGGACCAAATTGCTAATGAGAAAGTGGCTCTGCAGAAAGCCCTTCTGTACTATGAGAGCATCCACGGGAGGCCGGTATGTGATGGACCAAACCTCCTCACGAGGGTCGGTTGTCTGGCTTTGGAAAGTCTCTATAATCTAGTGCCAGCCAGAAAATTGTGCCCCTAGTAGATGCCTTTTCTTTTTCTTTTTCTAAGTGTTCCGAAGGCTTGGCCAATAGAGTTCTTTCTGTTAAGTATTAGATCTTAAACTTAATTAATTCCAACAAGTTAGACTACAACTAAACTTAAGTTGCTAATATTCTATTGAAAAGAAAGGGAGGTAAAGGATGGAGGGGACAGTACAGAGTGCACAAAATTCTGAAGTAAGGGGAAGTCAGCCCCTGTAAGCTGAAGGAGACTCGAGGCTTCCACAGCCATATTATAAAGGGGTTAAACCTGAACGATGTGTCATAAAGGGGTTAAACCTGAACGATGTGTCATAAAACAGTTCCCCCCCCCCCCCCCCCCCCGCACTGCAGGACACAGCCAGCATGTAAAAAGGATTTCTGTCAGTGTGTAGAACCCAAAGTGGGAAGTTCAACTCTAGCTTCACTTTTTTATCAGATCAGGAAGCATCTGAGGTTGTTGGATATTTAGCAAGCGTGTGTTAAGTGTTTCTTGCTAACTCAAGGGAAGCTTTTATAAGGCAGGCTTCTACTCTCCTCCTTGGGGAACTTAGACAGGCTTCTTGTCTACTACTCTTCATAGTTTTCTTTTCAGAGAGTTGACAAGAAAAAAAATGCAACAACAGCAATTCCTTCAGGCAGGTCTGAGGAAGCATGAAGTTTAGATTCATGGATTTTTATGAAGCCCACAAATACAGGACTCTTCCTCCACTCTGTTGTAACTACTAATTTAATGAATTAATGAAATTAATCATTTCTTCTAAATGATGTTCCCTTTTCAACACAGAAGCTTCCAGAATAATATATTAAACTCTATTTTAAACAAGGCATACTATTAAACCATGTTCTTCAGAGGCTAGGCAAACCCTCTACCACAGAACTATCCCTCCAATCACAGGCTTTGGGGGAGGGGTGAGGACTCTGGGCTTACCTAATAGTTAACTAATCCCCAGTGACTGGCACAAAACTTGTCACACAATGTAAGCCCTGGGAATATTCACAGAAGGCCTCCAGGCACGCTCCTTGGCATTTTAGTTCTCAGAATATCAGGGTTTTGTTGTTGTTGTTTTGTTTTGTTTTGTTTTGTGTTTTGTTAGTGCAGGCACTTGTGCTGATTCATTTCAGGACTGTTCCTGAAGTGGAAAGATACTAGAACTCTGGGATAACATTCATGTTTCAGCCAAGTTTGGTTTCAGATTTTTTTTTAAGGCACTTAACCAAATAGCGAGTGTTCCAGAGTTCATAGATTGTGAAATTGTGTCCTTCTGTCCTGGAGTATTCAGGACCAGAGAAGCAGAACTGAACTGCTGTGAGCAGGAATAGAGCCTCTTTACCATGGAAGCTCAGGACCTCAAGTGTGGTGCTTGTGGCCACCAGGGGGCTTCTGTGACACTGTTTTTCCCTTGGCGTAGTTCTTTCCCTTGCAAGGATGATTCTAGCTGGAATATTGACAGAGTCCTTCAAGGGCTTCCTGGCCCGTGCCCCCCACCTGAGAGAGCACACAGCTGCATTCTAAGTGGATCAAACTTCATTGCTGGTGCACAGGTTTGCGTGGCGGAGGGATTTTTGCGGTTGCTGTTGTTGTTTATGCTGTGAACACAGCTTTCAGTTGGGAAGATTTTTAATTCGGTTTGTACCGCATTCCACAGTGCAGATACTGAGCCTCAGAATTGTAGGAACTTAGCTTGGCAGAAACCTGGGGCTGCTTAAGTAAGCCTTTGAACTCTTGGTTGATAGACATCTATTACAAGTTGTCACGGCAGGAAAAAGAGATTATAGACACACAGAGACATTTATACATATACTGACCTTTAAGCTCAAAACAGATAATGTGAAATCGCAGCTTTGGGGTTGCATAGTAAATGCAACGGTTCACACTGCCACTACAACCACATGTTCTCCTCCCTCCTGCTTGCTTGACATTACATGATCACAGTGGGGGAAGAGTGTATTCTGTTTACCTGCCTGTTATTAAGAATACAAAATATTAGTTCTTTATCTTGCCTTTCAGATAGATCAAGATTCAATCATCTCCCAAGGTAGAGAACAAATTGTAGAACAAATATTAATGTCATTTATCTCTGATCTCGGGTCTGTCTGCCTCTCTCGGGGTCACAATGCTCTAACTTCCTTAGAAAGAGAGCAAACTTCCCTTGATAGATGGTCAATCTGAAAATCAAAGTAGACTTTTCTTTCTTAGATATGTGCTATAGTTAACCCTAAACCTAAACAAACACCAGTACACAAAATGTGCACATATTTCCAATGCTAAGCTGCCATTTCGAGTCCCCTTATCTCATAAAGTAGACGTTCAGAACTCGTGGCTTTTTCTGAGTCTGCAGATCCCAATTTAACAGGCCATTGGCCATCAGGATCATAGTCAAACAGTCATGTGCTACGCAGCTCTTGGCAAAGCTGTTTGCTTTAGCTGAGTGCGCTGTAGATGGGCATGTGTGGCATTCAAAAACAAGTGAGCTTCTCATTTCCTGTGAGCTATTATTAAAGCATGTCCTTTCCAACAAGAGTGTTGAAAGTCTTCAAAAATGATGTCACAGAAAAATATAAGAAATAATTGAAGTCCCTTCCCCCTATATCACCATTCATAACAAATGTGCTGGGGAGAGAATGGGTTGTTTGACCAGTGCTTCTGGCTTCTTCTTAATTCGTTCCCTCACCAGTATATTTTAACTCTGTGTTTCAGAACCATGTTGACTAATACAACATTAAGAATAGTCAAGTTAACATTTAAATTATGAGTCCATATATAAACACTAACCTCTGATTAGCTGTTGTTTAGGATATTCCAGTATTTATACAAATGCCCTTCTATTCTTAACTTATAAAAGATTTGCTTTTTTTAAATTTATGGGTTCAAAGTTCAGCACTTAGAAGAGCCCGTGATCCCCCTGCTAGATCCTGCTTCATTCAGGGCTGATGTATCTGTGAGTAGAGAAAAACCTGGGCTGGAGTCAGTACACCCAGTTGTTGTCTAAGCTCTCTTGCCTTGGGGATACATTCCCCTCTGCAGTGATCAGTTTTAGCCTCAAAGAACAAGGCTTGCCTAGCTCTAAGATTCCATGGCTCTAATTTTGTCTTTTTCATCACAGTAAATATGTCACTTTTTTGCCATTCATCTGTATATCCAAGTAACACCAGCCAAATGTTGTAGAAAAGTTTTGTTTGAGGATAAGAGAAAACCCTCACAACATAAAGGCAGGCATACTGGGCTGTCCAAACTTTGTGATTTCTACCCTGGGCTTGTCTCTAGTTAAGTGTGGACAGTTATTGGATAAGTTATTACTACTACTACTACTATTACTAAGAGCAGGAAACCAACAATGTTTTGCAGTACCCTGCTAGCTGGTGAAATTTATCCGAAGTGATTTACTATTGATCATGCTGAGAAAGACATATACAAAAACCGTACAAGACAACATATTTCCATAATCCAGAACTGTCTTTGAAATTGAATCTTCTAAAGACTGAAAAAAATGGTAAAGCCACTTGTCTTAAATGATTTCCTACCTGAGAAACTCTTACTTTCTCAAGCTTTTAATAATAATAGAATGTAGAAACCCAGCAACCAAATCTAAAAATAGATTTTGCCTCATAGTACATTGAGGTTGAGGAACCAAAGAGAATACATGTATAATCTATGTGTTGGGCATACCTAGATAGGTTCATTCACTAACATTGCAAGTATTTATAGAATGTTTCCATTAGATGAAGTATTAAAGTACCTACTCAGGATATGAAAGCAAAAGCTCCCATATTCAACAGGCTAGATTGTGAGCCAGGAGATAAATGTGTGAACAATTATGATAGAATGTAAAAGTGAGTGGGACTTGGTGGTGCACACCTTTAATCCCAGCACTGGGGAAGCAGAGGCTGGTGGATCTCTGTGAGTTCGAGACCAGCCTGATCTACAAAGTGAGTTCCAGCACAGCCAAGGCTGTTACACAGAGAAACCCTGTCTTTACAAAATAAAAACAAAACAAAAATGTGATTTGTATGTAATTTCCAATGGCTGACTTACAAAATACTGGCACAGAGAAAGGTTATCTAACACTCCCTGTGAGACTCTTTCATGCCCCGCATTGGGCAACATTATGTGAAATGGAGACTGTGCTTTCATTTCCCAGCCACTGTAATCACCCGAATAATCTAATTACAACACTGTTTGGTCAATGGTTCAGGTATATTCCTAGCTAGCTCTTACATCTTAAATTAACCCATTTCTATTATTTTATATTTTACCAGGAGGCTCATGGTTTGTTACCTCACATCTTGTTTTTTGGGCAACTTCAAGGCATCTACCTGATTCCGCCTTCTTTCTCCCTGCATTTAGTTTAGTTTTCCTGCCTACCTATATTCTGCCCTGTCATAGGCTAAAGCAGCTTCTTTATTAACCAATGGTAATAAAACATATTCACAGCATACAGAGGGAAATCCCACATCAAAAATATAAAAGAGTTTGAAATTACAAGGCATCAGAAGAACAGGGTGGTCTGTCTTAATTAAGGTTTCTATTGTTGTGATAAACACCAGGACCAAAAGCAACTTAGGGAGGAAAGGTTTTATTTCATTTTACAGCATATAGTCTACTATGAAGGGAAGTTAGGGAAGGAATTCAAGCAGGGCAGGGACCTGGAGCAGGAGTGGATGCAAAGGCCGTGGAGGATGCTGTTTACTGCCTTGCTCAGCCTGTTTTTTATGGTATGGGAGAGGGACCACTTGCCCAGGGGTGGTATTGCCCACAATGAATTGACTCTCGCCCATCAATTATCAGTCAAGAAAATGCGCCACAGGCCAATCTGTTCAGGGCATTTCCTCAGTTGAGGGTCTCCCTTCCAAAATGACTGTGGTTTGTGTTAAGCTGACAGAAAAGCAGCCAGCACCAGTGGTAACATGGAGGATAGAATCCCTCTTCAGGACGGGGCACAAGGAAAGAGGGCTGCACCGAGTTGGTTTATGATCTGCAACTTCCAAATGAAGAAGAGAGAAAGCCCCTTCCTTGTAAAGGGAATCACACATAATTAGGCATGAGATAATCTAGTCTTTTTCTGGAGTTTGAAGTACAGTGGAGAGGAGAGAAGCCGTAAATGATGAAGGGTTTCAAATCCTATACAAGGAAACTGGATTGGATTCTTTCTTGCTGCGTAGAGAGTTTGAGCCGCGTGCCAGATGAAGGAAAGGAGCATGAATCATCCAATGGATTCCAGCAACAGAAGTTCCTTGAATACTCTCTGTTTGCCAGAACCATACTTTTAAGAGGGAACAGTTTCATGTGGAAGAATTGCAGCTGAATGAGTTGATTAAAGTACCATATGACAAGCATTATAATAGAAACATTTGCACAGAGAGAGAGAGAGAGAGAGAGAGAGAGAGAGAGAGAGAGAGAGAGAAGTAATGAACCATTCAGAGATTTTGAACCTTGAGTTTCTTGGATTCTTTTTTACATTTTCTTATTTATTGGGAGGAGGCACAACACAGCATACACAGGTTAGAAGACAACTCGTGGGAGTCAGTTCTCCTTCTGCCATTTGGGTTCTGAATGTCAAGCTCAGGTCGTCAGGCTTGGCAAATATACAACTTTACCCACTGAGTCATCTCCCATCATCACCACTTAAGGAGTTCTGGGGTTAGTTTTTTTTTTGGGGGGGGGGGGTGCTGGTGTTCTAAATTTTATTTACTTACTTTTTCATGTGTGGATAATTTGCCTGCATATATGTTTGTGCACCATGTGAATGCATACCTGGAGCCCACGGAGGCCCAAAGAAGGCGTTGGGTCCCCTGGAACTGGTTACAGATGATTGCAGATTGCTGTGTGTACCTAGGGCCTCTGGAAAAGCTGTTAATGCTTTTTAACCACTGAGCCATCTCGACAGCCACCCACCTTGAGTTTTAAGTTTAGACTTAACATAGTAGGCTAAGAACATAGCACATTATTCAGACATAGAAGAAAGTATACTAATGGGGTGGTTTCCAATGATTGGCAGGGTAAACCTGTAGTATTTTTATTTATTGGCTAAATATTATTGACTAATATTGGTCTGACTAAGTTTTGTAAATTGTATCATCTTAGGGCCACAAAAGTTCAGAGCATGCTGGGACAAGGGCCAGCACAACCTGGGAGCTGGCTTCTCACTTGTCCTGGTCTTACTTTTCAGGTAACAAAGACTGAGCGTCAGATTATGAAACCTCTGTATGATAGGTACCGACTGGTCAAGCAGATCCTGTCCCGGGCCAGTGCTGTCCCCATCATGGTGAGCGCATTCTTTCTCTTTCCTTTGGCAGCCCCTGGCTACTCTAAGAACACCTGGTTTAGTTGGGTTTCAACTACTGCTGTGATGAGCACATGCCTAGAAAAACAACTTGGGGAAGAAAGGGTTTAGTACAGCTTATTGTAATATAGTCCAACATAAAAGAAAGTCAGGGAAGGAACCCAGAAGCAGGGACCCAGGGGCAGGAATTGATACAGAGGCTACAGTGGAACACCGCTTCTTGGCTTGTTTTCCCTGGCTGACTCGGCCTGCCTTCTCATAGGATCCAGAACCAACTGCCCAGGGTAGTGCTTCCCACAATGTGCTGGACTCTTCCCCTATCAGTCAAGAAAATGCCTCACGGATGTGCTTCAGAGCAATCTAATGGGGGCATTTTCTCAACTGAGGCTCCCTCCTCTCAGATGACAGTAGATGGTGCCAAATTGACAAAAACTCACCAACACAGGGCTCTGACCATGCTATCTTTGTGAGTGTAACTCCCCTTTCTTTTGGAGGAGCCCCACCTATGCATGTAGGACCCTAACTCTCATTCTCATTGAAGGTCAGGCTGTGGTAATTGAAGCAGCCATGTATATCATGTCTTACCAAGCCTGAGGAATGACTTGATCATATATACATTCCTCTGGCACTCATGGGGCCAGCACCTAAACCCATTCCTTAGAGACACAGCACAAGAGGTAAGGCTGGACTTTCTCCAAGCTCTTCATTCCCAAGAGTGCCTTCTGATTTCTGTTACAGTTTGGCCCCCATTCACTGAGGGATGACTCCCTAAGAACTTGGCCCGAGAAGGACCCTCTAGAGAACTCCAGTGAGAAGGGCCTTGTTTTGCAGCTGATGGGGGTGGAAAGGGAGTGGAAGGAGGGAGTGGGAGCCCTAGTGTTTGGCAAGCTGCCTACCATGGTCGGCGTCTTGAGATATAACTGCTGTTAGCGCCTGGCTTTGATCCGATCAAGGGAGAATGACAGCTCCTCTCTGGCTGTGAGAAGTCTTTTACCTGAGAATCCCCTCCCCAGGCTAGATATTGCAGGGCTGGTAATGCTTGTCCGTCTCGGAGAGCAGCATTGCCTGATTCAGTCAGTGCCCTTGTCTGATGTCACAGCCTTGGCTTGATATCACAACTAAAAGGCTTGTTCTCGTTAGCTGCTACTGTTATCTAGTGCTTCATTAAATCTTGTTATTCGTTTCTTCGTTTTTAAGCCTACAGTCGTCTCTCACATTTCTTTTAGTATGCACTTATTTCTATGGGAAAGGGAGAATCCAGCGACTGTAGGCAGCAGGTGCAATTAAAAAGTGTTACTCTTCTGCAAACTTCCTGCAGAATAAACTGATTGATAAGATGACTAATGTAAGGAGCCATTGCCTCTCGCTAAGAACACTTAGGGCTCCTAAATAAGGTGAATGTACAACAGAAAGGTTCAATGAATGTCACAGGTTTGTGTGACCTTGAGCTCCTGTCCTTTGCCAATTACAATTAGGCGTAGTCGCTGGAGCTAGGGAGGAGGGGGTGTGGGTAAGTGCTTTCCTTGGGGGATTCCTGAGAGTTTGGTTTGTAAAGCAGATTTACATCCTATTACATCCTACTCTGTCCTCTCTTTAGTATGTGTGGGCTCTGAAGAACTTTGTATTAGGTTTTGGGAGGGGGTGTTATTGGTGGGTGGGAAATGGTTATAAGATGTAGTAAATACTGGTATGTTGAATGGTCTGAGAGCTATACGGCAAGGAAAAGCAGTTCATAATATATCCTATTTGTTAATGCTTGTCACAGGGTTCCCCCTCCAGCAAACGGAGAAGCCCTTTGCTGCAGCCGATTATCGAGGGCGAAACTGCTTCCTTCTTCAAGGAGATAAAGGTGAAGAGCTAACCTCACCTGGAGTGACAGTCCCTGGGCAGTGGTTCTAGTAGGCATTCCCTACAAAGCAGTAGCTTCCCGAGACAGCTGTGGAGATTCGTGGCCTACTTATATTATTATAACCTTGCCAACTCCCGAAGTTTCCTTCCATTCTCTTCTTTGTTAACTTGTTCTGTTTTGCTTTTACTTTGATCACAGAGAATGTTTTGTTTCTCACCTTGTTTTGTTGTTCTTGTTTTTCAAAACTAATGTTTACAATTTCGAAGTTAGTTAGGGCCAAAGAAGACAGAAGTGAGATTTTAGAGCCTGTCATATTTTTGTGACATTCTAAGGCGAGAGTCGTGATTTATTACCGGTGGTTAGGAATGATTATCTCAGAATAATCTATTGAGGATGATCAATAGGGAGCTTCATTTCCTTGCCTGAAATAAGGTAACCCTCAAGACAATACCCAATTTTAAGGTATGAGACAGACAGAGCCTGTTAACGGCATTACTAAATAGAACCAAAATTATGAGTGCAGCCCTGGAACATCAGGGCTGGTGTGCTGTATCAGATCTTCAAAATTACAGCTATTTTCTTACAATATGCTTTGATATCAGTGAAAGGCAACACGCTTTGTCCATCTGGTAGTTTCGCAGATGATCTGAATCTTGGTAATTGGGCAAATTTGGACAGTTTGTATACGAAAATTAGCGTGCTTCTCTCAGCAGCTTATAATGGGCTTATTACCAGGTAAAAACATGCTCATGAATATGTGGAAGATGTGACAGCTAATGATCAGCTCATTAAGTAGCTGCTAGGTGCCCTGATGATGTTCCTCTGGACAATGACAATCTACCTACCCCTGCTTATTCCTTTGCAAAACTTTTTAAAGGAGAATATTTTGACTGTGGCTTATTGCCCACTGGCTCCCATCGTGCTCAAAATTATACGTAATTTTGCAGTGATTACATTGCTTTTGTAAATACAGCTGTCTTTGGTTCATTTCTTCTAATCAGACATAGCCACTAGCGTGTTTTTGATAACACATCGGAGATCTAATAGAATTCACAATTTACTGTGTTTGGAGGTGAAAAGACCAAGTCTAACTGGTTTCTTTAAAACTTGTCCCTGGTTATGCTTGCTTTTGGGAAGAAACCAGCTTGTGTGAAATAGAGCCAGCTCCAGTTCTGAAAGTTCTGAAGGCCTTCAACCTGCAAAAAGCCCAGAGAATCTTCCTGTCCACTCCAGGAACCCTCTAAAACAAGATGGAATAGGATTCTGTTCTCAAGACAGATACTTTCAGAGCAGTGGGAGGATGAGGCTGCATGTTACATGAACTGAGTAACAAAAGCAGCAAACACCTTTTTCGCTTTTTAACCAGCTTTAATGACAAAATAGAATACAATTATATATCATGCAATTTTAGAATGTGTTATTTTGATAAGTGTAAAATAATCCACAGTGAACACTAATGTTTTGTAGCTAGTATAGCCCCTTACATTCCACACACACGCTTTGTCCCACTCTGGAAGGCCAGGGAAGACACACATGGCTGCTTCTCTTTCTAGTTCTTCACACATTTATAGTCACATGCCACTTCCTCCCACCCTGCTGCTGGCCTTAGAAACTTTTCTCTAAGCTCTTACTGCTCTCCGTGGAATGTGGCCCTTCAGCAGTCCCTGGCTCTGGGGCACACACACAAGTCAGTTTATTTGTGTCTCCCCAGATCTAGTTTTAGCCAGGACAGCAGAGCAAGAGCCAGGCCTTACTTCACCTGCTGGTAGAGACCCTGTCCAGCCTCAAAACCCTGTCTCTTGTGCGACTGTCCCTGTCAACAGCTCATTCTGGACATTCGCTGGTCAAGTTCTCAGCATTGGGTCAGGGTAACTGCTGTGGGATGTTGCCTAGGACCCCCACAAGCTGCTACCACCCCCCTCTAGATCTGACAACCAAAAATGTCTCTAGATATTGCAAATACATAGGGGATAAAAATCACACCATTGAGACTTACTGTCCGTGACTCATCTCTCTGTGATTCCCATTGTGCTGAGGGATCCTGTGATCCCATAATGCTTGTCTGTGGATTTCTTATTGACTACGCATCCAGATTTTCCTTTTCCTAACCTACTTAGAGAATCTTGAACTTTCCAGCTTCTTTTTATACCGTTATCAAGCTATATGTAGTAACCTAAATAGAGATTCTGCATTCCAGCAAACTGGATGCCATGTCCACTCTGTCCCTGATGCGCATGGCATTGTTCCCTTCCTATTGCCATCTACGTAACTAATTGCTGTTGACTGGTACTTTCGGGCAAAGAGCCTGCTCTGGACTGTTCCCTTCAGGTTCATGCCACCATCTTAGCTGAAATTTTAATAGTCACCTTTGCTTTTGGTGGGTCTCTGGGCACTTTGTTCTTTATCAAAATCCAGATAACACAGCAGTCCTATCAAAAAAAAAAAAAAAAAAAAAGGATAACTGGTTTAAAGGAGCCAGTACTAGGGTCACTGGCTCGTTCCCAAATATGCATTATTTGGGGGGCTATACTAAATATCTACCATTATGAGCTTGTTTCAATGTCTATTTTTTGGTATGTAATTTTCCCCATGGTTTTCCAAGACCACCAAGAGTAGTTTTGTTAGGTTCATCTGAAAAAATCATCAGGGTGTTTCAAGTTCTCTCCAGACTTGGAATATAATTAGGAGGACTTTTCAGATTTTATTTACTATGTCTGTGCACAGTGTGCGTGTGTGTGTGTGTGTGTGTGTGTGTGTGTGTGTGTGTGTGTAGTGTCTCTGGAGACCAGCTCTCCAGCCTGTTAGTAGAACTTTTGAGAAATGAAGTCTTACGTTCTTATGTGTTGCTTTCCTTGGTGTCCCTGTCCAGCTGTAAAATGTTTGCTAACAGCTTTCCTTGAAATCTGAACTGCTAGACCGTTCACCAGACATTTGTTCTACATAGGTTTTGGTCAAGCTCTGAAGCAGTATATTCAGACCCAAGCTCTGCCTGGGCTTCTGGGTCTGTTCTCCTTCATCTTCCTCATCCAGGGGAGTTAGAAGGGGAGAGGGAGGCTGGTGGGTGTTGCCTGCCAGCTGTGTCTCCCCAGGTTCTGGGCATATGCTGGCTCAGTTGTGTTTTGTAAAACTAGCATAGGTTGGAACTATTAACTTCCACTTACAAAAAGAAATGTTAAAATTGTTTACCTAAAAATCGAGTTTTGTCTGACATTTTAAAACAATTTATATTATAAAGAATGCTGAAGTGTTGTTTCATTGGGCCAAGCAGAGATTAAAGACATAAAGCCCTGCTGAGGTAGAAAAATGCCTCCTGGCTTTATCCAGCTTTGCCTTCCATACTTAATCTTGGTGCCACCATTTTAATAAAATAGAGAAGAAACCATGTGAATATTGTTAATTAGGTGATTTTTGAATGACACTTGTAATGGAAGCATACTCTTCCAAAACGTGCTCAGAGTTTTTTTTTTTTTTTTGGATTGCCATTTATCTCTAGGAACAAGAGGATGCGTCAGAAGATGACAGCTCCGCCAAGCCAGACTTCACTGTCATGCTGAAAACAGACTGCGGTGCACACTGTTTTCTGGAGCAGCTTGAAGATGATGCTGATGGATTTATCTCACCAATGGATGACAGAATGCCATCAAAATGCAGCCAGGATTCAGGCCTTTCAAACCTCCACTCTGCTTCCATGTATGTTGTTTGGGCAGTGGCATTAAAGTGACTCATTGAAAATAACAATATAAATGTTAGTTTGGCCAAAAAAAATCACAAATGACTTACCTACAGTATGTTTAAATAGAGAAGATAATGATTTAAAAAAAAATAGATGGGCCTGGGGCTAAAGCAGAAGAATATGTGAGTTTGAGGCAAGCCTGAGCTACAGAGTGAATTGAGCTGCAGAGTACAACCTTATCTAGAAAGAGGGAGGAGAGGGTGAGAGAGAAGGAGGGCAGAAGGGAGGGAGGGAGGGAGAGAGAGAGAGAGAGAGAGAGAGAGAGAGAGAGAGAGAGAGAGAACAGAGGCAGGGTGGGAGAGATGGGGAGGGAGCAGAGGAGGGAGAGAGGGAAAGAAAAAGCTCACTGTTATGAATTTATCAGTTTCCTCATATATTTTATTGCAGATTATTTGAGGAAGTTTTGAGATCTTGCTTAAACAAGCAGAAGGTCTCTGAATGACACTGTGGCTCTGTCCACCACAATTCATTTAGCCCTGAGTACAGACGTCATTTTGTTCTTAAAAAAAATTATATGACAAAGTGCTGTAGGATTTCATAAAATCTAATAACTCGGGAGTAGCAAGATCCCCTAGGACCCCTGGAGCCTCGCCTCCTTTCAGAATGCAGGCATTCAAAGAAAGCAGCCACCATGACTTTTAAGTTGTTTCCTTTTCTTCTCAGCTCCCACCCAGTCACATACTCATTACAAGTATAACAATTCATATTTAAGTTTTTTTGTGATTTATTTTTCTTCTTAGACCTGAGCTCTTGGAATACCTTCAGGAAATGAGAGAAGAAAAGAAAATGATTCGAAAGAAACTTCATGATTTTGAGGACAATTTTTTCAGACAGAATGGGAGGTATGTGTGTCTCTCTGTTCCTCCTTTCCCCTTCACCTGTTGTTCCACATTCCAGGCCCTCCCTCTGTTTCTGTCCCATCTGGGAAGTCTTTCCAAAGCGGGAACTTCACTCCATTCTCCCTGTAAGCAGGTCCTCAGGTTTATTATGCCCAGCAACCCTCAGAGATTTCCAGTGAGACTGTGAGATTTATATGTGTATTTGAGATGAAATACTTCTCCTACAGAGCACAGGCCCGGCACAGGAGCTGCTGATACACAACTAGTCTCTCACATTTGCTTCTCAGCGGAAACAAGTAGCTTGGAACTGAATTTCAGATTGTCAGCATTGAGTTTTTTTCCTCAGGAGACAAGAGGCAGAAGAAAGATAACGGGGGAGTTAACCACAGTTTAAAACCCAAAGATGGACTGGGGATATGGCTCAGTATGTACAAAATCCTGGGTTCACTCAGGGGCACTACAGAACTGGGAGAACTAAGACAATAGCTGCCAGGGCTGAGAGAAGGCTGTGCGGTGTGTGAGAAGCAGTTAGGGATGGATCTGCCTGTTCTAGCCAGTGAGTTGTAAGGTGTAGTTGAATTGTCTGTTTATTAAACTTGCTAGGGAAGTGTTTGTCACAGAGTCTCCTCACATACCATTGGGAAGCTCAGGGACAAGTCCCTCATGTGGAATCAGGTTTCACCTTCCTAAAGTGGTTTTACATTCCTCCAGATTGGGTAAACTTTAGGGAGTTTTTTCAGGGTACTTTCATGTCCTAGAGTGTGAAGAAATAAAAGAATTCTAGCAATTAACTTTGACATCGGGACTGTGCTATAACAGTGTGGTTTAAACATTATGTAAATTTGTTTTTAGGATCTCTAATTTGGATCTACTGTATAATGATTTGTCTCAAGACTTTTACATTTTCATACCTAAATGTTTGTGCCTTTCCCCATACACATTGCAGACTATTTAGAATATGGATATGCAGACAAGAGAAGTAATTCCTAAAATAATAATAATAGCCAACATAAGTCAATTTACTATCCATTGTTAAAGTGTTAATTTGATGATCAGTCTGTATGCCTTTTGTTTTTATACTATACTTCTCACATGTGGTGCACAGAATTCTATACATGAGCTATATATTGTGGAGCCCACAGAAGGTTTAAAAAGCTATAAATTGCATTGGCACCACATTGGGGGAGGGGGGGAAAGACTGTCTTAGAGGAGCTTAAACCAAGTGTTAGCCCAACTGTGAATCTTCCACTTTTCCCTTGTGTCTTCCTTCTGTCCCTAATGAAGCCCTTTCCTCTACATTTACTGGACATCACAGAAAATATGGCTTAGGAAGGGGATGAGGAATCACTGCTCTTAATTTTTTGCCAGAGTTTACAAGGGAATAATTTACTTTATGAACCATAATGACCCAGAATAGCATTCTAATCTACAAACAAATGTTATCAGTCTATATCTGCAGATTGAGGCCAACATTTATGGTAGATACTTGTTTTCCTTAAGTTTTGCTTTCAACCTATTGGTTGCTTTCAATAAATGATTCTCACACACACACAAAACTCACCTACTGTTCTGAGTTTGGATGGAAGAATATAGACACATGCAAAAACACTCATGCATATGAAATTAAATAAACCTTAAAAAGAGAAATTTAGTGGTTGATTAGGTAAAAGATATAAAATGAGAAAATATTAACAACTGTGTGGTTTAATATTATGTCAACTTGATACAAGCTAGAGTCATTTGAAAAGAGAGAACCTCAGTTGAGAAATGCCCTCCCTTCACTGGGCCTGTAGTTCATTTTTTTGATTAATTAATTATTGGTGTGGGAGGGACTGACCCAATATAGGCATTCTGCCCCTGGGCTGGTTGTCCTGGGTGTTATAAGAAATGAGCAAAAAGAAGCAAGTCAAAAGGAGCAAGCCATTAAGCAGCAATCTTCCATAGTGGCCTCTTCTTTAGTTCCTACCTCTGGATTCCTGCCTTTAGTTCTTACCTGACTTCCCTTTATGATGGGCTGAAATAAAATCTTTCCTCTTCAAGTTGCTTTGGGTCATAATGTTTTATCACAGCAATAGAAACCCCCAAAAAGTCAAGAATGAATAAAATATTTGTTTTCCTGGCTTGGTAGTGCATGCCTTTAATCCCAGCACTTGGAAGGCAGAGGCAGGCGGAACTCTGTGAGTTCCAGCCTGTTCTACAGAGAAAGTTCCAGGACAGCTAGGGATGGTTACACAGAGAAACCCTGTCTTGAAAAACAAAAATAAAAAAAAAAAAAAGCAAACAAAAAAATCTGTTTTTTTTGGAGAAACTCTTACTGTGAAATCATACTTACCAATCAGTAAAAAAAGATTCCTTGCTTCCTTAATTGTTTATGATCTATTAGATTCTAGATTAACTTTATAGACACTAAAGAATCATGGTATCTCCAGAGAAAAACCACTTTTCATTTGTCTAAATCCAGCCCATCTAGATACCAAGACCTAGTTACCAACACTGATTCTGCAGGTTGATAAAACACATAGTCTCCAGATAGTAATTCCCTATGCATGCTGTCCTCTAGAACAGAAAGAACGTGAGCCTCAGCTCCTCTTCCCTTTGCTTCCTCTAGAAATGTCCAGAAGGAAGACCGCACCCCGATGGCCGAGGAATACAGCGAATACAAGCACATAAAGGCCAAGCTACGGCTGCTGGAGGTGCTTATCAGCAAAAGAGATGCTGATTCCAAGTCCATGTAAGGACTGCTGGTGCAGATGACAGCTTTCCCAGGAAAGATCAGCTCCGGAAGGCAGCCTCGGAGCTGGACCTAGGAAGCAGGCAGTCTCCTGCCTCTGAGCCTTCAGACTGGTTCCTGCTTCCATTGCCCGCCTTAGAAACTGCCTGCGTGGAAGGCAACAGTGTGACCTGACTTAGAAATTTTATAATGGGAGAGTCAGGACTCCTACCCATATCAATGCACACTGCAGTAGGAACTTCACTGCCTTGAGCAGTGAGCAGACACACCGTCAGACATATCCATCCATCTACAGATAACTTGGTGTTCTTCCCCGACATCTGAGAAACACGAGGTCATTGTAAAACTGTGACAAACACAAGCTCAGGACTTCGCTCGCAGAGCCTGCTTGCTGTGGAGGTCTGTGCTCTCCCTGGCCCCCACCACATGGTGACCGTGCATTGGCATACCATTCGCTGCCTTGGCTGTTTCCCAAGCTGTACTTGTTCATTCCCAGCGATGCATTTCCCGTTAGTTCTCAGGTAGATGGAGGCTGTACCTGCCCATCTTGGCAGGGCAGTCCTTTCATTGATGTGCTCTCTCAGCTGACAGACTTTAAGTCCCTGCCTCATACTTGCTTATGCTGAGGACAGAGCGACTACAGACGTAGCTATGTAGATGCTATCTTAAAATCAGGTGACAGCTGAGGAGCCTAAACGCTCTTCAAGACACTGACTGCACTTTCCCGTCTCAGACATTGATGCCGAACACAGAAGAGGCCAGTGTTCCTGTGATAACCTGTTTGGGGCTCAATTTCGTTGTTGCACTAGCCAAACAAAGGGGTCTTGCTTAGTTTTAGACTAGGTATAGAATATCATGGGAGAGAGGAGTCTGTATCAGGCTCCTGAACTTACCAGAGTTTAATTTTTCTACGAAAGTCAACCTGCACTAAAATCCCCACACGGATGGGTAAGAAGAAGACGTAGCCCTCGGAGCTCAGTTCATTTTCAAGGCAGAATCTAGATCACAGTTTTCAAGACGATACAGAGACAAAATGGTGTGTGGCCCATCGTGATGCTCTTTTTCCCCCAGAAGTCTGTGTCACAAAGCTGTCTATATTAGACATTTTAGAGGGACCAGGGAACCTAAGAAACCCAATCATTCATCTCTCCCGTGTGCTTGCTGTCACTCGATGATGTGGTGATGCTTTTCATCTATGGTCTCTCTGAGGGATGCCGGCTTGGTTTGGCAGGCACCTGCATGAGGTGTGTGAAGGCCTTGCCTCTGGAAGACAGCAGCAGAGGCTGGGCAGGCAGCAGAGAGACGGCGTTCTGTTTGAGAGTCGCCTCCTACAGGGCACCGTGTTACGGAGGAGAACGGGACGTTGTATCCCCAGTTGCAAAGATGTCAGATGATTTTCAGCACTGCTCTCTTTGCTACAGCTCTGTCATCGGGAGGCTCTTTCGGTAATGGGGGTGGGGATGGAGAACGCCTTCAGTTTTGCTTTTATAAATAATCATGTAGAAGCATGAGCCATGGAAATACTGTTTTTATCCACACACTTAAAGACGGTACATAATCCTACACATTTCAATATACGTGAAAATGTAGTTTGATGTTCTTTGCTCTGCCGTTTCCATTTGTTGATTTTTTTCAAGAAGCTATGTTATGAATAAAATTACATAATACAGGATTGTTTTCTATCTCTGAAGCCTGAACGTCAATCACTCACATGACCAAAAATGGTATTTTAAAAAAGAAATCCATATCTAGTCTGTAATTTTTCAGTACTTTTTCTCCTAAGTAAACTGTGGGATAACTCAAATCAGGACCAGTTAACGTTTAAAGCACATGGGCTCGGGAGCATTGTTTTAAAAAAAAAATACACTAGAGATTTTTCTTAAGCTGAATATAAATAAGAAGCTACTCGATGTTTTGGAATCCATTGTTTGCACCAAAAGCAAATGAACTAAAAGACTTATCAGGACCCCCACTCCGTTTTATGTGATCGATAAAATACCAAGTTATTGGAAATAAATCATGTATATACTGTCATGGTCTCCCTCATAATTTCTGTCTGTTTTTCTCATAAAATGGAGCCCAAACGCAGGCGGAAGCTGTGTTTACGCCAGGTCTTCTCTGCAGGCACATTACTCAGCGGTTTCTGGCTCTGCTGGAAGTGGGGGGGGGGGGGAATTGGTTTCCATGGCAACTGTCTCTGTGGCTCTGTGTCTCCAAGCACTAGAGGCAGCATCTTAATTGGCTTCACACAAACAGAATGCTGTAGGCTAGGGGTTCTCTTTTTCTCTCCTGAGAACTGGCACGTATGTGAGCACATGGCAACAAAAATATCAAAGGTTAGGTAAAAATAAGCTTGGCTGTGTGATCATGAGGACTAACGGTGCCAAAGGCATGTAATGTGGGTAAGTACATGCTCTTACTGTGCAGTCTGGAGTAAACATTGAAACCGGCTCTTATAATGAAGTATGCTGTCGTTCCAGCCTTTCACCTTTCCGTCATTTGGTCTTCACTTTTTAAGACACGGTGCTACAGTGTTTCAGATAAAGGCCTGCTTTGACGTTCTAAAAATTTTGTCCAGGTTTTTGCATGAGCTTAGTGCTCACCACGAAAGACCAAGTCAGATTTCCAATTTAAAAGCCAGGGTTTTTTTTTTTTTATTACCAGACTTGACTGTGAATATTAGGCTTCTCGCCCTTGGTTCAAGTCAAAGGATTATTATTGGCTACAGAGCCGCTATCGACAGGTCGCGGCGGTCTGCAGCAGAGAGCAATTTTCACCTCGTCTCTTTCTGATGCAACACTTACAGAGAAGCCGCTTGTAGGCTGGGTCTGCTTCCCTCGCCTAGCCTGTCTAGACCAGGACCAGTCCAGCCAGTTTGTGCCTATTTCCAAAAGGTTCTGGGGTCCTCAATCTCAGAGCGCTGAGGGCTGACGAAACTGAACCGGGCTGAGTTTGGAATTCTTTGTGGGGTAAAGACTCAGAACGAAAGAATACAAAATGGCCACAATACCCTTTAGTCTCTCTGGGGCCTTCCTGGTTGTCAGTCGAGAAAACAGGGTGCAGCAGCCACCACAAGTTTCAAAAGAGATTTAAACTTCAGTAGGATGGTGTTTTTCTTCTGCTGACTGTATATGTACCACAGACCGCTCTGTGGAAAGCTAATTGCAGTCTAAGGTTTGTTTTGCTTCCATGGATTTTTTTTTTCCCAACACTCCATCGCATCCTCAATTCCCCTCCCCCAGCGCGGCAAAGTGGACTCTGCTGAGATCAGTGCACAAGTGGGAACTTCTCTGTCCACTTGGTAAAGCAGCAGGGAGGAGCAAAACTGGACCCCGAAGGTCGGAGGCATATTCTCCCTAAAGTGCATGTATGTTTAGCAGAATCTAGAACATGTTTTAATTTCCCTCATGACATAACTTTGTCCGATTGAACCTAACATGTACTAAAAAGACCATTTTCTCAAAAGCAAGTCAACATGTTTTCAAACTACTATATTCACACTGTGTGCACTGTGGCATGTTCCAAACAAGAGTAATAAGGACATACCCAGCACTGCACGTCACTGGCCAGGGCCCCACAACCACAGCACACGTTTGGATACAGACCAAGGCCAGAACTGCAGGTGCACGTGGATGTATATGTGAAGGGGCAGAGTCTATACACATTTACAATTTCGTATTATTTTGAAGGTTCATGCCTCTAAAAGACCTCCTTTGTCCCAGACTGGTGCCAGCCATGGTTAAGTGCATGGCCCGAGGAATCAGTTTGTTGACAAATCTCATTCTCCATTTGAAAGCATAAAAATAACCAGAAATGGGTAAAATGTTACCACTTTTTGGGCCTAGAGCACTATTTATATGAAATATAAGCAGAAAATATTTAATTATCAATGTCCTTGAAGAAAATAAAAACTGAAAGCAAACCATTATGTACAGTTTTTATGACTGCATCTTGTAATAAAAAAAAAATCAACTTTTTAACGGTAGAGGCTCTGAAGTGTTGTCAGGGTCATGTGCCTGAGCTGCGGATGGGGTGTGACCTTTCCCTTCTTGGCTCACTTGAGCCCATGGAAAGCCTCACGAGGATTAGGGTTTGTTCTGTCTCCAGAGACGGAGGGCACTGCAAGGTGAAACAAACTGTGTACACAGGTGGTAGACAGAGGAGAAACTAGAAAAGCCCGTTGTACTTTCTACCAGCTGCCTCTAAGTTATTCGTAACAGAGCAGAAGGGGTGCGGAAGCAAAGACCTCAAGGAGGGGTCTCTTTAGTCAAGTACATTTCCAAAGTCTACGAGACCACCATAGGTATGAGCTTTAGGCATTTACTATTCCAAAAGTAAACAAGGACAGGAAATGTTTGGAGAAAAGACACTGCAGCTGTGTGAAGTGAGTAGCTCGCCTCCAGGGTCACCTGTCAGGTCAGGTGCCGCACAGCACCTGCTCCCTGAAGGGTAGCCTCAAGTGTTGGCACAGGACTCCATGCCCCTATGGCTGAGGGGTAGAAGGCATACCTGTGACCTTCAAACTGTTCATATTGTATGTACTCCAAGTGACTGAAATTATTTAGTACCATGCCCTGCAGCTGAGATGTGAGTGACTTCAGGCACAGAGATGAGATTTCGTTCATCCTTCCCAAACTGAAGCCCACCTGGAATACTTTAACTTTTCTCACAATGAGTCCAAAGTAATCAATTTGGAAGAAGTGGCAGGTGGAATTTAGTGACCCTGCTTCCTTCAGTATTTGGATGTTGCTTTGTGTGTGTATGCATGTGTTATATATGGTAGACACAAGTAAGTGTAAGGATGAAGGATGTTGTGTTCACACGAACAGAGGCCAGAGTAGGAGAGGACATTGGAAGCTTCCTAGCATTTTCTGCCTTATTGTCTTCACACAGGGTCAGTGGTTCTCAGCCTATAGGTCGTGACCCCTTTTGGGGGCAGAGTAAAGAACCTGACCCTTTCACAGGAATCACCCAAGACTATCAGAAAACATAGATATTTACACAACAATTCCTAACAGTAACAAGATAGCAGTTATGAAGTAGCAACAAAATATAATTTTATGTTTGAGAGGTCACCACAACAGGAGGAGCTATATAAAAGGGTTGCAACATTAGGAAGGTTGAGAACCACTTCTCTAGATGAACTGCAAACTCAATTGGTCGGGGACCTTTTGGGATCTGCCTGTCTCCACTTCTCAGTGATGGGATCCTAGCAATGCACGGCCATTCGGAGCCGTTTATGTGGGAGATGGAGGTCCAAACTCAGACCCTCGGACTTCGAGAGCAGGCACTGTGCCTGTAGAGGTGATGCTGCTTCTTTTGAGGGGATAGACAGATAAGTGAGCTCAAATTCTCACAGGTCTTCAACTTGGTCAAGTGCTGGGATGCATTCCTGTGTCCCCTGTCCTCTGCCCCAGCCATGTGGTGCTTTTGCTATGCGTCCTATAGGAGGGTGTAGAGCTGGCAGCCTGAACAGAACGCCGCGATGAGACCTAAACGTGGTGGGAGGGCACACTGGGGAAGGGATGAAAGACCTCAGAGCCTTCGCCACTGCCTCTCTGGAATGGATACAGCATCTTGTAAGACAAAATTTACCGGTGTAATCTCTAAGCTAAGTCAGCTTGCTGAGGCTGAGCTCAGTAGAATCGTATACCCACTAAGCCAAGTCACAATTCCCCAGTGCCTTTCAGAGTGCTGGCATGCAGGAGGGCGGGGGAGGGATTTGGCAGGACCTGGAGGTGCTGACAGCTTGGTTCTCACTTTCTTCTCCAGCAACAAGGTTTATCGCGAGGGCAGCAAGGCACGAAACATGGCGAGAAGCAAATCCCTTGGACCACTCCGACTCCCCGCGGAGCCCATGTGTGTTTAAATCAGACGTTGCTGTGAATTCTGAAATGCAGGCTCTTTACCATGCTTGGATTTAACTTCTCAAAAGTCATTCAAAGATGTGCACTGATCCTTGGACCATCCTTCTGGGCTTGCAGCTCTGAGTACGACTTGGCAAGACATTTCGAGACCCTGACATTTTTCTTTAACTGCATTGACGATCACTACATATTATTGGGCATGGTGAGGGCAGGAAGAGCGGCGGCAGGCAGGAGAATGCTTCTCACACCTGAACAAACAAGTGGCTGGGTGACAGGGATGCCAGCTCGGGGAGGGCTTTGGGGTAAGGGCTGCAGCACAGAAAGGGCCTCAGAATTCGGGGTCTCAGGAGGAGCTGTGTATATTAGCACGTTTCTGCCTGCTGCTGCACTGCTTCTTCAACCTTAAGGAGCGTGCAGACTGCATGCTGGGGATCTACAGAAACGAGCAGGTCCACAGCTAATCCAGCCTCCTACGTTACAAGCCAGAGCCCACTGGTCCAACACCCAGAGTCAGCACCATGCCGGCTCTTGAAGGGCCCACGGTATGATGTGGGCCAAGCATTTATCCTCCCAGAGACTGTTTCTTCATATGAAAAAGTGTAAATGATTGCAGTACTACTTGCTTTAAAGGTTGTTGTAGGCTCGATGCTGTGTCAGCATAGAAATAAAGAGTATTCTTGCTGCACAGAAACACATTCTGAAGTCTTCCAGAACAGGCATTGAACTTCCGAAGACCACACTCCATCCCATGCCCATCACCCTCTCATTGCATGTTTGTGTATGTCAGAAACAAAATATGACTCCAACACTTTAAGTACTGGTCAGTACTAATGCGATAAGTGAGAATTGTGTGCAAGAATGTACATACAAAGATGTGTTCGTGTGTATCTGCATGTGCATGCCCATGTGTATGAGTGTGTGAGCATTGTACATGCATGTGCATGCATGTTGTACACATAGGTATGTGTGTGCATAAGTGCGCTGTATGTGCATGTGTGCTGTCTCTGTGTGTGGTTGTACGTGTGTGTGTGTACATGTGTATTTGTGTATAGGTCAGAGGTCAACTTCAGGATGTGAAAATGAGCAAGATTTTATGGAAACAGTTAACCTATTCTGTTGGAGAACAAACCCAAATCGTGACTATCACTAGTCTCAAACACCCTG